GTCATTGCGTGGAGACATGATTATTTTAGGAAAATAGCGGACGCAAGGAACCAGCATAAGCCGGTTTTTTCATTTAGATGAAACATGGGTTAATGCTGGACATACAGTAACAAAAATTTGGCAATATACCTCCATAAAAACTATAAAAAGAAGCCTTTATGTAAGGAGTCTTTTGTGGATTAAAAAATCTAACAGACAACAAATGTTTTCACAAAGACATTTTTACCTAAACCGCTACATAAAAAAGGAAGTAAGCCAGAATTACAAGGACGGCTTCGGGTGGTACCCATTTAACCAATTGTGTAGTTCTTATAATAACCGAGATCCGATTTTTGAGAACACAGTTTCTTATAAGAAAATAAAGGTCACATGACTTTAGAGGCAAAGTGTTCGAGTCTTAATATCAAGTTATTTTTTAGAACGAGTCCAATACGTAGAAATTGATAGTATCGTCGGTGAGCCTGAATTGGTCTTTTGGTGTTTTTCAAAGCACAGTATTGGACCCATTATTATTCCTTCTATATATAAATAGTTTATTAAAAAAATGTAATATCACATGAAAGATTATGAGTTTCGCGGACGGCACTGCCATTCTTTACGAGCACTCGAATTGGAGTGATTTAAAAGGTCAGACAGAAAATGATTTTAAGAATATAAAACTATGGTTCCAACACATTCTTCTTGCACTTAATGAAATATTTGCGTAATTGCATTTTACGTCATATGAAACTAATACTAATACTAATACTAATAACTTAATATAACCCTATTTCAATACCGCCTAAAGAGTTCTAATCTAAAATTAGAGAGAGCTAAACACCCTCTAGAGTTGTCTAGAGTTTAGACCTAACATTAATATTATGTACATCATTTAAATGAGTAATTTTCTTATATAATGTATACATGGATTGTTATACAGTTATTTTTGCCGCTTGAAATAAACAGTTGCCGCACGACAGCGGAGCTTATCTCAGTCTAAATATCTACATTTTCTTTTTAACAGTGTTATTATAGTATCCATATAGTTAATTTCGCTTTTAAAATATATTTCGTACAAAACAGCACAATGTCTGAAGGGACAAACACAAACTATATCTCTATTCCAAACTGCCTTATTTTATTACCCGATATATTAAATTTTGACAAACGAGCTGAATAGACGATCTTCCTTATACATTTATTAGATCATTTTAAATGTAATAAAAGCTCTATTTTTTATGCAGATGCTCGCTAGGTCAAGATTTTATTATATTGGCAAATGTCACGTCGATAAAATCAAATGAAATTAGGCCAGTTTTTTTATATTAATATGAAATTTAAAAACATGATACTAAACCCTCCAATTTCCCGTACAAAATTAATGGATCCATCCTGGCAATCCCAAAGTGAAAACAAACCAAAGAACAATTGAAAAAGCCTAATTGAACAAAAAATGTCCTCTAACAAGGAATTGAACCAATTAGATTAAAAGAGCGTATAGCTACAGTGACCGAATATTTAATCGTACAGTATACCCATACAATATATTGTTGTGCAATCGTCTGAAGCCGACTCTGTTATTTATTTACCTTACCGCGTCATGGTGATTGGCCCGCTGGCGAGATCGTGACAAGTCGAATGTTTTCTTTTGCAGTCCAACGCGCGGATGAATAATTTCGAGGGACTTCTAGATTAGCATGGAGCTTCTAGACAGGGTTGAATTTTTTCTAGACTGTTACATTTTTATATAAATAGCGCGACTTTGTCGATAGAAGTTTAAGTTTCAATATAAATGTTGTCAAGTAAAGATAAAATGTAAAATAAATTAGTGTGAATTATAAGTGTTTAAATATTATAAATAAACTATTTTTAAATTAAACAATTCTTAAAATATACATAGCTATGCATAAGTGAATATTCTTGAGAATATTGAACTCATCTTTCAAAAGTGAGTTACAGGTTATATTCAAATAAGCGTTCTTTTGAAATAAAAATGTTGCTAGTGATTGGCCTAGGTTTATAACGCCGTTAAAAGATATTGCGAAGAGACTTCTTGCCAAAAGGGAGCAACGACCTAAAGGGCTTGCCTGTTTTATGCGATATCCGTATAGATTGATCTTAAGTAGTCGGGTTATATACCAAAGAAGGATGGATATGTAAATTTTAGTACTGACCCTAAAACATAAAAAAATATTCAAATAAATTATGTGCTAAAGAATGTAAATCGAAGGTTTAAAAATATCATTTGTATATACAGGGTGTATCATTAGTGCGTAATTCTTCAATATTTCAATTTGTGTTATTAAACACGCAAACAAGTTTTAAATAAAAAGTATATGGATTTAAAAAATACGTATTTTAAAAATATTTTTGGATATAAAAGATGTTGCGTTTTTGTCTGGCAAATAAAAATGTATATTTTTTAAATGTAAATACCCTGTATTTTATGTCAGTTTTAAAATGGTTTCGTAACACTTTATTTAACCCTACAATTTTTTTAACAAATATTACAGGTTTGCCAAGCAATTAATTTTTCATGAAATTGGAGAATAATGTAGTCCTCAAATTAAAATATTATAATTTAGGTAGGTTTACAATGATTTTAAAATACAGGCTTCTAAGTTACTAAGCTAACGAATAGTGGTAATTGAACTAGTTTTTTTTTTTTCATACAGAGTGTCTTGAAACATGTTCTAAATATGGCTAATTTACTCAATTTTTTTAAATGCAACACCCTGAATATTATTTTATCATTAAATTCTTTATAAATTTACCTATCCAACGATACCAACATGTTAGCCAATACCACATATACAGGATGTCCCATCAGTGCGTAATTGATCCATAGCTGTTTTATTATTGAAAATACGAAAAATAATGTATAAAAGTTGTATGACCATGTTTAATAAATATTCTTAAATATACAGGGTGGTCCATAAACGAAGGGCTGCCCAAAATTATACATTTTTAAAGCAAAACACCTTGCAGGTATTTATACATATTTGATTGTTTTCACATCGTCAAACAATTTTAATAGACTTCATTTATTTGCTATGTTGTATATAGTGTGTATCAAAATGCGGGAAAACTCTTAAAGAAAACGAAAAAATATTAATGATGAAGAAAAATTATCAAATAATTTTAATAACTGCTTCATAAACATCGGCAAAACTCTGGCAAGTAAGATTAAAAAACCAAAAAACCATAAAATCTAAAAAAGCTCCTGGGTATGACAAAATCAGTGCTGAAGTACTTAAGGTAATTGTAAATGATATAAAATACCCATTAACCGTAATAATAAATAAATCACTTGAAATGGGAGTGTTTCTTGAACCATTTAAAAACAGCATTGTTACACCAATTTACAAAAATGGAAATAAATATGACGTAGAAAATTACAGACCTATTTCTCTTATATCTAGCTTAGCCAAAGTATTAGAAAAGGTAGTCAAAAAAAGAGTTAATAGTTTTCTTGAAAAATACCAATTAGTTTCAAAATCTCAATTTGGATTTCGAGAGGGAAAATCAACCCAAGATGCAATACTTGAACTGACTAGCACTATTTATGACTCTATAGACAAAGGAGAAACAGTAATTGGTGTTTTTATTGACCTAGCAAAGGCGTTCAACACCGTTGATCATACTATATTATGAGATGTTATTGAAAACATAGGGATAAGGGGTAAAGCACACGATTTTTTCAAGAGCAGACAACAACAAGTAAAAGTAAATAATATGTTTAGTCAAACAAAAGACATAACGTGTGGAGTACCACAAGGGACGGTGTTGGGCCCTTTGCTATTTACAATTTACATAAATGATTTATTTTTACTAGAAAACGAGGGCTAAAAAATAATAAGTTTTGCTGATGACACTGTGGTCATTTATAAAGGAAATAATTATTATAAATAGAAACCAACTTTTTAAAAATTAAAAAATTTCTAGATAACAGGTTATTATCGTTAAATATCCAGAAGACAGTGTACCTACCTTTCAGCAGCCAATCGACCTCACAACCTACTTTTGATTTATCCATACAAGATAAATTTAAAATACGACCTGCTAAAGAAATAAAATATTTGGGCATCATGTTAAACTGTTGCTTTAGATGGGATATACATATTAATTATCTGCTAAAAAATTAAGATGTATATTGTATGGATTTAAAAAATTATCTGAATTTTTAAATATCAAAGAAAAAAAAATGGTATATCAGAGTTTGGTAGAGTCTCATCTGAACTATGGAATAATAGGATGGGGAGGTGTCTCAAAAGTGTACCATAAATCATTGCAAATATGTCAAAACCGTTTTCTTAAAATAATACTTAACAAAAACACAAGATACTCCACTGAATCTCTCTATGCTGAAACAAATATCCTCGATATAAGACAACTATTCTACGTCCAATTAAACACAAGACAATATTTAAATAGAGATGAACTAAAGACATGAGACAAGATATAGACATAAATATGTGATACCCTTAATGACCAAGGATAAAGGACAAAAGAGTTATCTGTACTTGGGAACCAAATTATTTAATAGCTTACCCGACAATATTCAAAGACAAACAAACTTAAAAACTTTTAAAAGTATGCTGTTATTAAAGGCAGACCTAGAAAAGAAATACATGACTTAATTGAATAAAATAATATCATTTATACAAATACTTACCCACTTGTACATTAGATTTTTATAATTTTATGGTTCGATTTTATGTTCTTATAAGATAATATTTTCTTACATTAGGTAATATGTTTTTTACATTTTTAATGTTTTTGTATTTTAAATAATTTTATATTTTTAACGTTTTTAAATTTTAACTTACAATAATAATACTAATACAATAATTATATTTCAGAACCACTTCCTTATAGACCACCATGTAGTTACGCCTCTGAGCGGAACCGACCACTAGATAAAACCAATGCAATACAAAAAACCTCTCTTATCGCTAATACCTGAATATTTTAATCATTATAGTTTCTAGTGCGAACTTGACCACATTAAAATAATAAAAATGACCGGTAAACGCCGAAATTTGACTGAAAATTAGTGTGAAATTAAAAATAAAATTAGAAAATTTGAAAAGTGGATGGAGGGATTGTATGAATCAAGTAAGTAGTTTTAAATAATATATTAAATTGTGTTGTAGGCTATTATCACCGCCAGCTGTTGTGATGTGAATACAAAGTTTTTTTTCCAATTTATGTCCTTTGTTGACTAAATTGTGATATTAATCGATCAATATTTTTTGGCGATTAAATTTTATCTCATTATAAACAAATCTCTTAGTTAGTTTGTGTATATTGGGTTTCCGACACACTTCAAGGATAATTTTGATTCCAGGTAAATCTGATGATGGCGATTCCAATAATTCTAATCCGGAATTAACCAGAAATCAAAAACAATCCGTTCGTCGCTTGTCTAGTAGTTCTAGTGACGAAGAATATACACGAAATCCAGTTATTGTTACCGCTGATGTTCATCAGTCAAAAAAGGCGGAGGAAATATCGCAATTGTTAGGGGAAGAACCGTCGCTTAATACAGTTTTTGGAGATACGATAAGTAATTATATTGTATCTAGATGGTCAGCTTATTTGAGTAAAGGGTTGGAGAAGGAATTAAGAGAAACTCTTGCAGAAAAATGGCGTATTCCGGAAAACTGCCCTCTTCTTTGTGCCCCCAAAGTAAATAATGAAATTTTAGGATTATATTCATCGACAGATTTGCGTAAAGATAATTTTCTATCTGCAGTGCAAGATAAAATGGGGAAAGGGTTAAGCGCCTTAGGTTTTGCGCTAGACGTTATATTAAAACATCAGAATTCAGAAAATATTAATCTAGAAAACGATATTTTGCCCGCAATTGTTGACTCCGCGAAATTATTTTGCGAATCTCATTTTCTAGTTTCTCGTCATAGAAGATATGAAATTTTGCTAGCTATGAAAGAAACTGTAATGAAAATTGCTGAGGAATCGGTGCCGGATAGTTTTTTGTTTGGTTTAGACTTCAATGAAAAATGTGAATCAGCTCAGACAGCACAACATGCTCTAAAGGACTACAAGGCAAAGACTCCCTCGAGGATTAAGAATTCAAAATTTAATTCGTCGAATTTTTTAAACTCGAAGCGTCCTTATCAAAAACACAAAATCAGAGAGAGCACAGAGTACAGGTACAAGCGAAAACAGCCGGAATACAGGTACAATCCAGGGACACGGAGGACACAGTACCAGAGGATATAGAACAAACGAATATAACTCAGGTATTTAGTGTTTATGCTGGAAGAATTAGCTTGTTCTATTCTAACTGGCAAAAAAATATGTAATGACCATAGAGTCCTAGGTTGGGTTAATGGTTATACTATACCTTTAGTGAAAAAACCTAAACAAAAAAATTTTAAAATTCTAAAGAAAATTACTCCTTTAGAAAACTCAGATTAGAAGAAAGTATAAGAAAATTAAATAAAATAGGAGCAATTGTAAAATGCTCATATAGTAAACACCAATTTATTTCACCTTATTTTTTAGTTCCTAAACCTAATGGTGATTATCGTTTTGTTTTAGATTTAAAAAAATTCAATACTTTTTTGGAAACGTTTCATTTTATAATGGAAAACATAAAATCTGTAAAATCTCTCATTTTTCCAGGTTGTTACATGTGCACTCTAGATTTAAAAGATGCCTATTTTTTGATACCGATTAGGAAAAATGATAGAAAGTATCTAAGATTTTTCTTTCAAGGGTCGTTTTATGAATTTACATGTATGCCTTTTGGTCTAAGTACAGCTCCATTTGTATTCACGAAATTATTGAAGCCTGCATTAGGTTTTTTAAGAAACCAAGGAATTTTATTGTTGTGTTACCTAGATAATTTATTAATAATAGGAAAAACAATTGCTGAATGTTCAGAAAGCGTAAATACGGCTAAGGACGTTCTAATTAAATTGGGGTTTTTAATTAATTTTGAAAAAAGTGTACTCATACCCAGACATATATGTAAGTTCTTGGGATTTAATTTTAATAGTCAGCTAATGCGCATTCAATTACCTAGTGAGAAGCAAACATCAGCAATCCTAAAGACTCAGAGCTTATTAAGTAAAAAACTGTGTACAGTCAGAGAACTAGCTAAGATTTTAGGTTATTTAGTTCCTTTGTGCCCAGCAGTAAATTATGGATGGTTGTACACTAAACAATTAGAAAGAGAAAAATATTTAGGGTTAAAAAATAACTTAGGAAATTACGAGGCAACTATTATTATTAATGAAAAAATTAAAGAAGATATTTTTTGGTGGATAAAAAACATTCCTTCTGCTAGTAGAAGTCTAGAAGATAAAAAATTTAAAATGGAATTATATTCAGATTCTTCTACTTCAGGATGGGGCGCTATATGTAACGGGGAAAAAACTCATGGGTTCTGGACAGATGAAGAACAATTACTACATATAAATTACTTAGAGTTACTGGCAAGTTTTAATGCTTTAAAATGTTTCGCAAAATATGAATCCTTTTGTAATATTTTATTACGAATAGACAATACAACTGATATTAGTTATATAAATAAAATGGTAGGTGTTAAATATCCTAAGCTACATAATATCACTAAAAATATCTGGCAGTGGTGTGAATTACGAAACATTTGGATTTATGCATCTTATATTAGTTCATTTAAAAAATGGTGGAAATTCTGTAAGTCAAATAATTTTAGTTGCCATAATAATTCATCTTGGGAGGTACTAAAATTTCTACAGGATCTATTTAAAGAACATACATTTTTATTTGCCAAGCAAAAACGCAATACCCTGTATATCCAAAAAGATTTTTAAAATATGTATTTTTCAAGTTCCTCTATCTTTTATTTGAAACTTTTTTGCGTGTCTATAACACAAATTGAAATATTGAACAATTACGCACTAATGGGACACCCTGTATAGAAATTATACAGAAGACCTACCGAATATTACGCCCTTTTCATTTTAATCCGTAAAGGGGATTTGCTTACTGATATATTGCTTTATATAGGATTTTCTATTAATGCCCTCATGCTAATAAATAGTTACTTGAAAAAGACAACAAAAAATTGTCTTGAACGATGCGAATTTCACATTCAGATCATTAGTATCAGGAGAATCGCAAGGTTCAATACTGGGACCTTAGTTCTTCTTTCGTCACTTATTATTCACAACCTATAAAACATTTATTAAACTGCAATTCATTTAATACGCAGATGACACCTAACTTTACTACAGTTTTTATTTTCAGATGATAGAAACTTCTTATAATGCTATAAATAAAGATATTTGAACATTTATCCACTCGGCCAAAGATGAATACTTAAGTATAAATCCCAGTAAATCATATGTGCTTTTGTTTGGATCTAAAATGAATCATTAAAAAAATTTATCAATCAAATCAACATTAAAATAGATGATGAAAAACTACAACGAGCGTATATAGCTCTTAAATTAATTTAGGGTATCTGCGACATCAAATAAAAAAATCTTTGTGAACCACTAGTTTTGTCCATATTTAATTACGTCGATGATCTCTATGTCCCATGTTTAATTGTCCAATAAAAGAAAAAAAATGCAAAACTGTATCCGTTTAATATTTTAGATTAGAAGGCGTTGGAGAATCTTCCATAAATTAAATGAAATTGGATGTTTTAACATGGACAATAGAAGTTGTTGCCTGCTTTTAGGCAACTGATGACATCATTTTAGTCACGTGGAATTCCGGTATTATTAAAGACTCTGTACTATTAATAAATAACATCATCCAAAATGTTGGTGACATATTATTTTTATTCCATCCAAAATTCAGATGAACGTTGTATGAATGACTTGAAATATGTATTATTTTATTGTTTGAAGAGTGGATTAATGCAATTTCTTATTTTCTTGTATACGATATATTTATTCTACATGTTTTTACTCATTATAAATATATTAACTAACGTTGTTTTTTTCTTTCCAGTGCTATGAAAATCCTTTTGGCTAAATTGCCGAGGCCGTGGATTGTGGATGAGAAAAAAGATGATGGATACACTGCACTTCACTTAGCTGCCTTGAACAATCACGTCGAAGTGGCCGAACAGCTGGTCCTGAACGGAAAGGCCAATATGGACCTTCAGAATGTTAATTTGCAAACAGCGCTTCATCTGGCAGTTGAGAGACAACACACTCAAATAGTGAGAGTAAGTAAATTTCCTACTTTTTTATTAACCGACTTCAAAAAAGGAGGAGGTTATCAATTCGTCGCGATATTTTTTTTTATGTATGTTCAGCGATAATTCTTTAACACGGTGTCCAATTTCAATAATTCTTTTTTTGTTAGAAAGGAGCTACATCAGGGTGGTCCCATATAAATTTGGTCAAAATCTAATAATTGGGTCCATGAGAAAATCCTCAAACTTCATTTTTTATGTATGTTTAGTGATAATGCTTTACCACCTTGTCCGATTTATATGATTCTTTTTTGTTAGTAAGGGGGTACCTCAGGGGTGGTCCCATATAAATTTGGTTAAGATGTGGTGATGGCATCTGCACGTTTTTCAAGTCGGTTTTTTTAATTTTTAATTTCTAATACTTGTCTATTAAAAACAATTTTAAGCGAAGAAAAAATTATACAAACTAATTACGAAAAATGAAATATTTCCTATAACTATTGAAGAAATCAACGTTTTAATTCGTTAGATAGACGGACTATTCTATAAAGTTTATCGAAAATACAATTTGGATTCATAAAAAAATCTAGTACTGAAGATGCGGCATTAAGTAACTTGAAACTATAGTAAGGACCAGTAGCATAGACGAAGCTAGCCGCGAAATTATTGTACATCTACATTCTCGCAACAGGTAAGCAGTTATCTCTCCGGTCACGTCGTGGATGAGTGACCACTGGGACGTTCCAACATGGGACTTAGCCGACTATCGTTTAACCATCGACTACGTGGAATTAATGGCGGAGAATGAGGGAGAGAATGGTGGTACAATAAGCTGAAGGCAGCAGTGTCACCAGGCTACACACGTTTTAAGATGACAGCACGGGGGGTCCGAAGGGTGTAAAAACTAAACAAAAAAAAAAGGTCAGTGGCGTAGCCAGAAATTTTTCATGGGAGGGGTTTCTGAGAAATATGGGGAGGGGGGTTCCATTAGCAAAGTGAAATATTTTAGATAAGATTGTTTTTATTAAAAAAAGTATATTAAAAATATGTTTTTGCGAGACGATAAAAAAAAGTGAATACAAATAAGTTAGTCAGGAGACTAGAATCCTCACGCAAGAAGAAAGCTCAATTATTAATGTCTTTAAAGTTTTACTACGTTGCCGAAACACAGAAACCACACCAAAATTCCTACGTTCGAAAAGAAACATCAAGACACCACATGCTCATCGAATTTTTGGCAGGATGGAAAAAACATTACTAAGGGAAAGAGAAACACAAAAAGAGCTATTAAGAACTGATGAACAACTGTTTAAACTCCATTTAAAGCTGGATCATCTACTAGAATGGGAAGATTGGAAAAAGATCGACAGAATAACACTCAGTAGAATGAAATCAATCCAATAAGAGACAAAAGAGAAAATTTAACAGAATCCATACCAAACAACTCGAGACTCACGGATGACGAAACAAGCTTACTAGCCAAATGAGGAAATTTCAGCGTAACCCCACAGACAATACCTACAGAAGAAATAATTGCCAATATAGAAGCCGGAATTGAAAAGTTACCACCTTATGTCAAGGAAAAGATATGCAGTGAATCTGCAAGAGTTCTACGGAAAGCCAAACCACCAAAAATATTTTAAGAGTCTCAATGAAGATGAAAACATCATAATTCTACATGCCGACAAAGGAAATGCAACATTCGTCATGAACACATCGGACTAAAGGAGGAAGATGAATGATCTGGTCCATCAAGACACATACAGGAAGTTTTCGAAAGATCCAACAGATAAAATTTTAAGAAAAACCACCAAATTAATAAAACAGTCGTTACTACCGACAAAGAATAAAATCTGCACTACTGAAGCTCTCCCACCAAGACAATATGTATTACCAAAAATTCACAAAAATAATGTACCACTAATACCAATATCAAGTGCCGTAGGATCACCAACTTACAACCTGGACAAAATCTGGCAAAATTCTCCAAACACATGTAGTCAACACAAAACCTACATGCGAGACTTTACGCACTTCATCGAACACTTCTTAGAGTCTAATGACATCCTAGTCAGCTTTGAAATCATCTCTTTGTTCACAAATGTGTCACTCAAAGAAGTAGTTAGCTACATGGGGATTTTTTCCAGAGCTCATCAATCTTTTCCGACACTAGCTCACAACATCATATTTCCAGTGGAATCAAACATTCTATAAACAAATTGGCGGAGTCGCCATGGGCACTCAAATCATCCCAGGTGTGGCCAATTTTTACATGGAAAAATTTGAAGAGAGAGCTATCCGCACTGTTGAAAAACAACCGAAGAATTGGATGAGGTATGTAGATGATACATTTATAATCTGGAGTCACGAGAGAAAAGACCTCAAGCATTTCCTAGTCAAGTTCACCATAGAAATAAAAGAAAACCAGCAAATGCCTTTCCTAAATGTGTTAGTCAGCCAGACAATAAACTAGGCCACAAAGTATACAGAAAGAAGACACACTGATCAATACCTATAATATGTGAACACATAAACGATGAAATGAAACACGTGACAACAGTGTTACAAGCAAACGGAAAATAAGAACATGTCTAGTGAAGAAAAAACCAAGGAATTGTCTATCTACCGTACGTAGAAGGTGTCACTGACCGAATTGAGAAAATCCTAAAGAAAAAGAAAATCAGCACTATCTACAAGCCAACAAAGAAAATAAGGAAATATCTCAAAATATCGAAAGACCGCAGAGAGTACAAAATTTCGTGCACTCGTGGAAAAGTATATATAGGATAAACAAGGAGAGGCACTGGTACACGAATAACAGAACACAAACGAAGGACAAACAGAAAAGTCTGCAATCGCCGTATACACATTATCCGAAGAAAAACACAAGGTCCTTTTCGAAACTACCGATCTACTAGTAACATCACGACATTATGTTGCGCACAATCTAAATTGTGTTACGTAAAACCACGTTGGTGCCAATTTGCTACGTGATACTTAACTTGAGTGCCAAATCTGTTACATGACAAGTTGGGTGTCAGAAATGTTACCCTAGTTACCCTCGATTTAGCTCAGCAGGGTCGGTGAAATTCGGCTTAGAATTTAAATAACAAATCAATGGCACTATCTTTATTTAAAAAGAAAAGAAAATGTTATATTAATGGTTAATGTATTTAGATGGTTAATAAATACAAATTATGCCATTAATTTGCTATGTGAAAGTAAGGAATAAATTAAAATATTGTAATTTTAATGTATTGGACAGGCTCTACTATGTACTGAATAAATCTAACAGTTTGAAAGGTTTTTACAACAAAAACAATTTATGTAGATTGAATTAAATTGAATAGATTGAATTAAATTGATTAGATTGAATTAAATTCAAGACTACAAAGTGACTTTGTGACATTAAAGAGATGATACAGATGTATGGTTGCTCTAATGGCGGTGTTCTACCGGTCCACAGTCTATTCTACTGCTTGGATGTTTTCATTTATTGTAACTGCTTTACCTCTTTGTTGGCATCTGTACCTCTTTATTTGCCTCTTTGTTGGCCTTTCTACTCTTTTATTGTAGAGATTTTACCTATTTCTTGGCCTCTTTACCTCTTTGTTAAAGAAAAAAAAACACGGTGTCCGTTACTTATATAAAAAAAACTTTTCCATCTCTTATGTGTTACACAAAAAGAAAGTACCAAAATAAGTACATTTAATAGAAATCAATTATTAACATTACAGCCAATGATTAGATTCGCAACAGTATTCAGTTACCTTGCTAAAAGATGAAAAAAAAAAAGGAATATCTAGATATAAAAACTAAATAATGGCGGCACACTAGCACAGCGTGCGTCCTTTAAATATTAACAAACTAAAAACAATTCGTAGAACTCACGTAATAATCTACAAACGAAATGTTAAATTTGTAATCACTTATCAAGCAATTCTAAATAACCAAATATATTAAATAATTACCTTTGGTGGCCGAACAGAGACACAATATACAAAACAAATCAAACAGTCAATCTCCACACAGCAAAAGAACGGCTGATCATTTGGGAAGCCTACTTAAATGGCAAATTTCATCGTAAGGCCGCACGAAAGCAAAACCATTGATTTTAACATTCTACAAGTGGCCTTGACAATACCTTGCTCGTACCAGTGGCATGTCTGAATGTTTTCCCAGGAGGGTACAATTATTGAATGTTTTTAATATTCCGGAAATAAAACTGAAACGTTATTTATAACGTTACAATTACTCGACCAGATTGCACTTGGAGGCTATATAAATTCACAAACATCAAAAGAACTTCAATAGAAAGGAAGAAAAAACAACATTTCCTAAGATCTGGCACACGTCATTAAAAAGCTCAAAAATAAAACCGCCTATTACCAATCACGCCAACAAACGCGCGCAGGCACTCATATAAGTAACACACTCTGAACGAAGGATGATTCAGTTTCAGTTAATACGTCCACGCCACTGAAGATGGCTGCCGCAGTTGCAGTTGAAACGTTTGGTAGTAATAACCAAGGAAGATCACACCATAACATCCAGGAAACAAACAATTATGTTGACGCCGTGAAAGCCTACGCTGGCGGAAACTGTGACACGCGAAGGCTCTCCATGGGGTGGTGTTCTGGACCCCAAACATCCCCTCCCGCCCCGTAGCACTCTAGTAGCATGCCACTGGTCATGGCCTTGGATAGATCAAGTAAATAGGGTTTGATCTGGTAAATGCCTTCGATAGAATTACTAACTCTGATCACTTAATCGGAATAAGCAACTCATAACATTTTTTGCGTATTTAGTGGCGTGAAGTGTCTTAAGGCGGGTACAGATCTGAGCACGTACGCGTATGAGGCAAGCCGAGGACGAATGAGCATGCAGATGTGGACGGGCTTCCGAGGCGCGGCAAAATGCCTCGTTGTGTGCGTCGTACGGCCTCGCCCCTATCCGTTTGTTGGCGGTACATCACAGGGAGGCAATGCGCAGTACGTGCTCAGTCTGGACGGAGCATTTGTACCGTCTAGCACCGTACAGATTATAGCAAGTTTTTAGGATTTATTTTGCATGGAGTGGAACCAGGAAAAGTTTTGCTTCTCCTGGATTTAAATAATCAGCGTTCTATTACAACACCATAAAAAAAGAATATCCTTGGCAGGAAATCGGCCATCGATTCCTTTCTCTTCTTTTTCCTTTAATGTATCTGATAAAATAATAAAACATGTACTTAACTCCGCGACGTCATCCTCATCCTTCATTTTTGTTTTAATTTTACGAATGTTCTGGGCAGAGATAAGGGTATACGGTTGCGTGCTCGCGAATTTACTGGATCAGTGGCGAACAGCGCCTCGTGCGTCCACCATTCGGTTTGCCTCATACGTGCACGTGCTCAGATCTGTACCCGCCTTAATAAATAAAATTTTATACAAGGTGGTCAAAAATTCTATAGAGCCACACAAATACAAAGTTAAAATTTTTGAAATTAGTATTAACCAATAAAAAGTACTAAAAAAAATAAGATATGTAAGTCGTTTTCTCGAATTTAGAACAATTTTTATATAATAGTTATACTAAATGTTCTTTTTTTTTGAAGTTCTGTAGTATCCAAAGGAATAAAATATAGGACGTTTAATACAAAAAAATATTAACTATGATGTGCTTGAAGTTAAAAAGTATTTGAATTTTTTTTAAATTACTGTAGCATTATGAAGAAATAAAAACGAAATGTAAAAATGTCTATTTACATTTTGTAATTACGTGGCATTCTTAGTGACACACCCTATATAAATAACTCAATAATGTTTCTCTGAGTTGAACATAGGTGTGGTAACTGGAGGTAAAAGAAACTATGACTGTTTTAAAAAGATTATTGTGTAGATCCAATTTTTTTATTAATAAAATCTCTTTATCATATATCATTTTAGCAGTCAAATTTTGATCCGTTTTCTTCCTTGGCCCATTCTTTTCTATTTCTGACTAGTGTATTCATTTTTATCAAAGTTTTCCCTTTACAATTTCGTTGCATTTTTCTTAATTTTCCTAAAATTTTTATTCATAAATTTACGCCTCCCACAGAGAGTCCGCAATTCACTAGTGGGATTTCACCTTTGATCTTTTTCGACTTCATAATGAAGGTGCGATGAAGGCAGAACAAATTCAAAAATGTGTTTCTCCCCATTACTGATCTCTACTTAGTAGTTTTATAAAATTATTCTAGTGTTAACGACATTTAGTTAATTATGTAATTTGGTATATTTGTTACATAAAACAAAAGTATTTTTAGTACCTCTACGTCTAATATGCTACCATAGTATTTTCTTAGCAAATTCAGAATGATTGCAAATTAGAATTACCGCTCCGGCTACGTAATTGTTTTCACTTAACATAATTAAATTTTCAGCTGCTTGTAAGGGAAGGTGCTAATCTGAATATAGCCGACAAAGACGGAGACACTCCTCTGCACGAGGCGTTACGTCACCACACTCTTTCGCAACTCCGTCAACTTCAAGATGTACAAGATGTCGGGAAACTTCTTATGGGATTAGGGACGCAGGGCTCCGACAAAAAGTCCTCTGCGAGTATAGCTTGTTTCTTGGCAGGTAAGAAATGTTTCAACTGAACTCGAATTAGAAATAAAGGGACCGATATTTGTATTACAATTTTAATTTCCCATATAAAAATGAAAATGTCTGAATTTATATTTCCGATAAAAGAGTAAAATAGATGTATTTTATTTGTAAAATTACTACCATTTGAAGTAATCTTACTTAATCATTAAAATGTTTTTTGTTTCATAGTTAAAGTTATACACTCAAATAAGGTCATAAATAGAGTAAACTCAGGAATAGAGTAAACCTCAGAAATAGAGTAAACCTCAGAAATAGAGTCAATAAGCTAAATATTTACATATACCTTTCTTTTGACATTCTAAATACTGTATGAAAATTCACATATAGTATGTTAAGTTTCACATAATGGCGGCAGAAGAACGATATAGAATAAGCGATGCCTTATTTTTTTTAAGGGATGATACTATTTGTGGGGCCTTGTTGGAGAGCTCTTTAAAAAAATGGTTGCAATTTTTTTTTCATTTTAAATTGTTAATTAAAAAAAAAAGCTATAAAATGTGTCTAAACATTTATTTGAGAGGATTAATCTTGAAAACTTATACAATGTTTACCCTGATTTTGTGTGTGTTCGGTCACCTTTAGATTTATTAAAGAAAACTATATACGAACTGCTTTATTAAATATTGCACTTTTTTACTGTCTAAAAAGGATTCGAAAAAAGTTTAATGCAAAAAAATTTTCTCAATCGTGTCGAAGAATGAAAAGAATCATTTTTGCCAAATATTCTTCAAATGTTATAATTTTTGTATTTTACCATAAAGAAATTGTTTTTAATTTCTAAATTTGAAAAAAAAACTAACTTTTAACACAAAAATTAGGACGAAATGACCAAATTTGAAAGAAACTTAATCTAAATCAGTATTTTCCGCTTTTTTGAAATATTTTTTTAATACAGAGTGTTGCTTTTGGTGCGGAAAGAAATTGGCACATTTTTTTTAAGCCGGACCTGGGCTTTAATTGTGGTTTCTGTTGCATTATTTTTTCTATATCGATAAAAATGTATGTGTCAAATACGCCACAAAAGTGTGACGTAATTTTGATTCCACTGATATTTAATTGTAGTAACTAAATTTCAAACAATATTTGACACATACGTTTTTACTGTTTTTAAAAAGTAGTTTTTCCAATTTTGACATATAAAGTGATATTTTTGTAATCGTCAAAATGATCTACTTTACGCAAACAGTTGCATAATGTTAAATATTATGAAACGAAACCCTATTTATGTAACGTGTTACATACAAGATTTTTCTAATTTTGACTTGATTATTTATAAAATTGTTTGGTTAAATAATGATTCATCATCATTCTTTTATCATTCACATATTTCAGAAAATTGTTGTATTTGATTGCTCTTTGACGTTTTTTTTTAATAGTAATAAAAATAAGTTGCAGTGTTGCCAATCTGATTTTTGACATTACCCGCGGGAAATTAAAAAAAAACGTTTCTATCAGTTGTCCTTAAGAGTACGTCAAAATTTTACATTTCTGAGCAGGTTTCAATAACAGTGTTTATTTAAAAAATAAAACTAAATTTACAGCTTTTATTTTTTGTTAAATGTAATGTCAAATTGTCAAATGTGAAATCTTACTATTCATTGCTTTTTTTTTATTTTTCGATTTTTCGATTATTCGATTATTCGATTATTCGATTATTCGATTTTTCGAATTTTCGATTTTTCTCGATTTATCTCGATTTTTCTTGATTTTTCTCGATTTTTTCTCATATTTTCTCATATTTTCTCATATTTTCTCATATTTTCTCATATTTTCTCATATTTTCTCATATTTTCTCATATTTTCTCATATTTTCTCATATTTTCTCATATTTTCTCATATTTTCTCATATTTTCTCATATTTTCTCATATTTTCTCATATTTTCTCATATTTTCTCATATTTTCTCATATTTTCTCATATTTTCTCATATTTTCTCATATTTTCTCATATTTTCTCATATTTTCTCATATTTTCTCATATTTTCTCATATTTTCTCATATTTTCTCATATTTTCTCATATTTTCTCATATTTTCTCATATTTTCTCATATTTTCTCATATTTTCTCATATTTTCTCATATTTTCTCATATTTTCTCATATTTTCTCATATTTTCTCATATTTTCTCATATTTTCTCATATTTTCTCATATTTTCTCATATTTTCTCATATTTTCTCATATTTTCTCATATTTTCTCATATTTTCTCATATTTTCTCATATTTTCTCATATTTTCTCATATTTTCTCATATTTTCTCATATTTTCTCATATTTTCTCATATTTTCTCATATTTTCTCATATTTTCTCATATTTTCTCATATTTTCTCATATTTTCTCATACTTTCTCATATTTTCTCATATTTTCTCATATTTTCTCATATTTTCTCATATTTTCTCATATTTTCTCATATTTTCTCATATTTTCTCATATTTTCTCATATTTTCTCATATTTTCTCATATTTTCTCATATTTTCTCATATTTTCTCATATTTTCTCATATTTTCTCATATTTTCTCATATTTTCTCATATTTTCTCATATTTTCTCATATTTTCTCATATTTTCTCATATTTTCTCAATTTTTCTCAATTTTTCTCAATTTTTCTCAATTTTTCCCAATTTTTCTCAATTTTTCTCAATTTTTCTCAATTTTTCTCAATTTTTCGTTTTTTCTCGATGTGCTAGATTTTTCTCGATTTTTCAAATTTTCTCGATTTTCTCTATTTTCTCTATTTTCTCGATTTTTTCAAATTTGCTCGATTTTTCTCGATTTTCTCGATTTTTTTTTAGAGTTTCCTCGATTTTTCCCGATTTTTCCAAATTTTTTCAAATTTTCTCGATTTTTCTCAATTTTTCTGTTTTTCTTGATTTTTCTCGATTTTCCCGATTTTTCTCGATTTTTCTCGATTTTTCTCGATTTTTCTAGATTTTTCTCGATTTTTCTCGAGTTTTCTCGATTTTTCTCGATTTTTCTCGATTTTTCTCGATTTTTCTCGATTTTTCTCGATTTTTCTTGATTTTTCTCGATTTTTCTCGATTTTTCTCGATTTTTCTCGATTTTTCTCGATTTTTCTCGATTTTTCTCGATTTTTCTTGATTTTTCTTGATTTTTCTTGATTTTTCTTGATTTTTCTCGATTTTTCTAGATTTTTCTAGATTTTTCTCGATTTTTCTTGATTTTTCTCGATTTTTCTCGATTTTTCTCGATTTTTCTCGATTTTTCTCGATTTTTCTCGATTTTTCTCGATTTTTCTCGATTTTTCTCGATTTTTCTCGATTATTCTAGATTTTTCGGTAACAGTATGTCACTTTATATGTCAAAATTAGAAAAAATTCATTATGTCACCAGCTTTCGAAAAGAAAAGAAATCTTTTTTTGATTTTAAAATCAATAATATACGTTATTATTGGAAGTTTATATGAAAGAAGGGCACGTTGACTTAAAAAAAAAACAGAATTTGGTTAAACTTACAGCCTAGTAATGTTGTTTTAGTCCTTATTTTCTTATAGACGATAAAATAAAAAAAACTTTTTTGAAGACTAAATAATTTTAATATATAAACACTCTACAAGTCGTTGAATAAATAATTATTAATATTATGTTCCATTTGTCACTAAAATAATGCATATGCAACAAACAATACACGAAAGTAGTAAATATTGGTTGCCTAGATGTCGATAATGTTTTACCAAAACACAATTTTATAAATAATTAGTCAAAATTAGAAAAATATTGTAATTTTGACTAGATTATTTTTTTAAATTGTATTTTGGTAAGACATTACTGACATCTAGGCAACCAATATTACCTTCTTGTATTGTTAGTTGCATATGCATAATTTTATTGATAAATAGAAAGTTATATTAATTATGTATTCTCAACGATTTGTAGTGTGTTTATATCGTTTATTAAAGTTATTTTGTTTTTAAAAAGTGGGATATTTTGTGGTGTATTGTGTTTTAATTATTTTGTGCTGATTTAGAACAAAAAATAAGGTTCAAAACAACATTATTACTAGTAAGTTTAACCAAATTCTATTTTTATAAGTCAACCTGCCTTTCTTTGATATAAACTTGCATTAATGTATATTATTGATTATAAAACCAACTGGTGACATAATGAATTTTTCGAAACTGTTTCATCATTTTCAACATTATGCAACTGGTTTTGAAAGTAGGGCATTTTGACACTTGCTTAGATAAATAACTATTAAAGGTATGTAATTGGTTAATAAATGATTACATACTTGATGCATGTTATTACTTTAAATTTAGGTAAACAAAACGAACAAAAAAATTTCACTATAATTGTCAGTGGAACCAAAATTATGTCATTACTAATTTAGCGTATTTGAAATTTTTATACCGAGTAGTTGTTTAGTTTTGGTCAAATAAAAATTCATAAAATATAGGTAAATGAGATATACTATACCCATTTTTGAATCATCCCTGTTTAGAATACCATACCAACAGTGAACGTATATACATTTCAGTATAATGAACATATACAAATATACAAAAAGAAGAAAATTGCTTCTAAAAATTTTGATTTTGTTAATTGTAGGTAACGGAGCTGATCTCACGATCAAAAACAAAAAGGGACAAACTCCTCTGGACCTCTGTCCCGATCCTAACCTATGCAAGACGCTAACAAAATGCCACAAGGAAAAACAGAGCGGCGAAATGGACATGGGATCGCATCAAAATACTCAAAATGTTAATGTGAATTCCACCTTAGAGGAATGTCTCGTGTGTTCGGACGCTAAAAGGGATATGTTGTTCCAGCCCTGCAATCACGTAACTTGCTGTTCCGGCTGTGCACCGCGTGTCAAGAAATGTTTAATCTGCAGAGAATCTGTGGTTAATAGAATTAAGGTAGGTTGTATTATTTTACCCTCGTCATTTTGTCTTTTGTCATGCATTTTAAATTTTAATACAGAAATGATGGTAATTTAATTGCCTTGTAGATAAATCTCGTGAATATTAAATCACAAAAGTATTAACCGTATATTCTAAAAATATAAATGCCTAACTTAAAGATTTACTTTTAATTTTCTATTTCGATAAGTATGTTTCGCTAACTGTTCCATCATCCTCCCCTCTAAGGTACTGTGAGAGGATGTAACTTGATCTTAAAATGCCTGAAGAAAAATATCTGTAGATAGCGATATAATGAGTTATAAGTGATCCGCTCGCTATAGAAAACAACCAATAAAATTTAGAATATGCCAAGTGTTTTAGATTTTTAAAACGCATTTTTTATTAAATTATTACTACGAAATATCGAAAATTATGTAAATAACATATTCTTTTTTTCCTAGCGATAAAGAAATTATTTTTAAGCAAGGTTGCACAATTATTTTGATTTTAATACTATTTATTACTTGTTTAAATTAATTATTATCATCCAGTATGAAAGGTAATATTTCACTTTTATTCTCATTTTTATTAATATTTCGCTAAGAAGGTACTGCCTTACTTAAGTGGACAAAGGCCACCACGAATCGTCAAAGAATACCTACTAATCACATACTTTGATTACTATACGGGGCAAGAGAGAGGTCCGACACGCCCAACATAGGGCGCGGCCATTTTAAACCCTATGACACAGTTTATAGCTAAAGAATCAGATCGATCACTCTGCGTCGGCACTTTTGATGTCAGTGTTCCAGTTTATACACTGCGCAACTCGGATTATACAATATATGACAACTGCCTATAATTAAACAGCAGTCTTCTGCGTATTCTGGATTTGTATCCCTGGAGTGGATGTTATTTTGGAACTTTCAACTGGTCCGAGTGAGCTAACTGATTCTTTAGCAATAAACTGTGACTTCAAAAATAATATTCACTGACACTGACAGCAGCAAGCAAAATATCAGGTGCGTTTTAATCATCCGCTTCTGCTTCCGGAATTGTCGGTTTAGTCGTTTTAACCTGTCAGATTAAAACAAGAAAACCGACAATTCCGAAGCAGAAGCGGATGATTAAAACGCACCTATTAAAAATATTGCGCCAAGATGTAGGCAACACGTAATAAGGGTTCAAAATGGCGGAGTTTTCTATCTCCTTTTAAAAGGCACTCAGAAAGCTGCGCAGTGCGACCATTCTCCGTATAGTAAAAGAAAATCAAAGTATGTGGTCAAAACACATACTTTGGTCAAAATTTAAAGTGACACTTGGTGACAGTTGACATTTTTGCCGAGTTTTTGCCAGTTGTTGCACTGGTAAAAATGAACAAGATTCGTAAATTCGGTTAATACACTGAGAAAATGATTTAAATATCTGTAACAAACTTATTTAAAGTGATAGAAATACCCCAAGTCCTCTGAACAAAATAGGCGTATACAGTGCTTCTCAAAAGTCCCTTCCCCCATCTTTTCTTTTGAACGGTGATACTTAGATTGATGAAATTTGGAGGGTGAAAATGAACTATTGTAAGCTTCTCTACTAGTGGTAACAGGTGACGTAATAAGCATCGGTGACGTCACCAGGCAACTGAAACCAATAATATTAAATGGGATCTTATATCAAGTGACACCTCGTTTGAAAGGTATTTAGATTACCTATTCAATCATACTATTTTTTTTGGATTTACGATGTCTTTGATGGTTAAAATAAGGTCCCATTTAATATTATTGGTATCAGTTGCCTGGTAACGTTATCGATGCCTATTACGTCACCTATTACTACTAGTAGAGAAGCTTACAATGGTTCATTTTCACCCTCCAAATTTCATCAGTCTAAGTATCACCATTCAAAAGAAAAGAGGGAGGAGATGACTTTTGAGAAGCACTGTATAATGGAGACCTATTGTGTCGACCCTGTCACAAGGAACAGAAATAATCAAATAGATACTGAGCAACTGCGAGGTATTGGATCGCAAAAGACAGTCACTTTTTGGACAAGCGCAGGTTGATCTAAGAACCTATAGAAAACACCATATCAATTACTTATAAAGTGATAGAAATACCCCAAGTCCTTTGAATTAAATTGAGATTTGAAGAAAAGTACCTACTGTAGGAATAAATAAAACACATATCCATACTAACTATTAATTTTAATTAATTCAAATTACGAAAAAGACGTATTACAAAAATCAAATTAATGAAAATATTAATATGAAAAATACACACAAAAGGCACAAAATTTTAGACATAAAGGAATATATCCTAGGTCCAAAAAAATACAAACGAAGGGCAAACTGATTGTATTCATTGGAATATCTTCTAGCTAGAGGATTTTTGTTTTTAAGTTCCGCTTGAGCTTTAACTATATCTGCAAGTGGTTGGTTTAAAAATTGTGCCCAACCGAAGGAGATATTTTTTGGACTGGCACATGCATTATCGAAGTAGAAATAACAGTCTCTCTTTCAACTTCAAAGTTAGTCATTCTTTTGCTGGAACCTAAAAAATATTTAAATTTAAAAATCACATAAACACAACACTTTTATATTATTTTTAATACCGGGTAGACTGAAAAAAATCGGAGGTAGCAACACTAATATCTTGATCACTCTAAAAATGAGCTAGTGTTTTGCTGGGACATAAATAATATTATTATTTAAATTTACAAAATACATTAAAACAACTTTTATATTGTTTTTAATACCTGGTCTGCTGAGAAAATCGTCGTGGGATTTAGTAGTGGCATAAATTCATTCAGAACGATCAATGTTTTCATTTGCGGGTATATGCGAGCATATTGTCGGAAGTACATTTTCAAATAAACGTTTCCGAGTTGATCCAACTAAAAAACTACTGGGCTGGAAATGTTTTTCACACAACTGGTAGTTTTTGTGTAATTCTTCACTGATTATATTATTCAAGTCTTCTCGAATACAGGCCCTTAACCACATGGCAGCCCTAAAAACATAACAAAATACAAATCATACAATGTCATACATAAATATAAATTGATTTACAGTATGAAAATGATTATAAAATTATTATGTTTTGATTAAATAGCCGAATAAATAATATATAGTTAACATAATTTTGACAAATTTTGCATATCTGGATCAAAATTTAAGTATTTGTTAGGTAGAGCTTTCAGTTTTTCTCATTTAAATTGCGTAATTTATTTTGCAAGCCTTTATGAAACTTTGGAAAATGAAAAATAACCTGTAGTATTCAAGTTCATTCGAGGTGGACATGGGCGATATAACACATCTCTTTCTTTTAGATTCCATTAGTTCAATAAAACAATATTTTGATTTAATAAAATAAATAAAAATATGTAAATAGCTGAGCACTTATTAACACAAAAATTCTTCGATTAAAAATAGATTTACCAAACAATGTTCATAAAATAGACAAAAGAAAACACTAAACACAGAATTTACTCAATAATGGTTAAAAAATATATAAAGGAAAACACCAAAACACATCCCAGCTAGCACAAAAACATCCCATCTACGTTAATAAGCTGCAATTTTAGGCTCTTTAAGCTCGCATGCAATGTACTGTTAATGTAACCCTATCATCCCTGCAACCACCGAATGTCCGCAACGGCAAGACTTTTATAGCACATCTCACAGAGGTTACAAAATTAAAGTTCGGAAAACATCACACTAGCACTTTTACGGTACTTACCCCGAAACTTTCTATAGATGTTATAATGTGAATTCATTCTACAGCATTATACAGTGTGTCCACGGATGGACTTAACAATACTTGTAAAAATATTTATTTTAAATTTAAAAGTACTTCTTCATAATTTCTTTTGCTTGTTAAATAAATACGATTAACGTTGAGAAATTATGAAAAAGACCTCTTGAAAAATTTAAAATAAATATCTTAACAAGTATGGATACACTATATTCAAAATAGTATATTGAGGGATATAGTAAAATCTGAAGAAAACAAAATAAAAAATTGTATAAATTTATTATTAAAAAGCTTTTGAAATCAAGAACCAATAGCATACAAGTAGAGGTAGGTATTAATAATATAGGTAAAAAAAACACTGACAAATTGGACAAAAGTAGGTATAAAGGGTATATAAGGAATATCTCAAAGGTTCACTAGAATCGAAAACACTGAACGCTTGCACGAAAGAGTATAATAAGGTACCTATATTGCAAAGGTTCACTGGTAGCTAAAATGGTGCACGATTGTACAAAAGTAGTAAAAAGTGTATTTATATAAGGTATATTTCAAAGGTCACTAGAATTTTATTATGGCAGTTGTAGGATGCTAAAAAAAGATATTTGCCTACAACTGGTACTAATCATAGTTTTAATATGATATTACGTTGTATGGGTATGTTATTATGTTCCCTTAAAACAACATCGCCGAAAGGCTTGGTAACGTTATGTGCTAGCTGGGATGCTTGTGTTAAAAATTGTAATTTGGTACTGACTCGGTCACACCTCCCGGAACATTCAAATACCAGCCCTCTAATACAGTCCACAGTTAGAGAAGCCAGATAACAAAAATCTAATCTGGTTGACGAAGCTTTCAAATCTTCTTTGGGACCGCGACATACCGGCCATCTTAGCCATAACCTTTTCATTACTATTGAAGTTTTCTATTATTATAAGATACAATTCGCATTTGGAAATATTAAAATGTTGATTCATTTATTTTTAAATATTTAAATAAAACTCGGTAAGGAGCAATATTTAGGTTAAATCTTAATATTTTGAGTTTAATATTTCATAATTATTATCATTAAAGACCAATTCATGTTGTATTTCCAGATTGAAGAATGTCTGGTCTGCTCAGATAAGAAATCTTCAGTACTCTTCAAACCATGTGGCCACATGTGTGCCTGCGAAAGCTGCTCCCAAATTATGAAGAAATGTGTGACATGCCGATCACAAATTGAGCAAATGGTACCGATTGCGGTGTGCGCAGGAGGTTTAGGTACTATTTCGGAGGTCGAAGCTGACATAGAAGAAGAAATTGAAAAACCATCGACTAGCGAACCACCAGCAGTCATTCAAGGACCAATTATGAATAACGGTGGCAGGGATACTGTTAACTCCAATGATATACAGAAATTACAGCAGCAGTTGCAAGATATTAAAGAACAGGTTAGTTTAAACGTTTATTTTAATACTGATATATAAAAAATAGTTTCAATTCTGCAAAAGTTTTGATAGCTCTTTGATAACTATGACACGACCTCTAAAAGAGAGAAAAGTCATGTCATTCCCATTTTTTTCAACCCACTGCACTGAGTAAATACTTCTCTAGAGGGAGCGTATCTTTGTGGGAAACTGTTAAGTTCTCAATATTTGTATAGAAAGGATTGATTCGGGCTCAAGAAGGAGTTAAACATACTCTAGTTCTATCATTTCTCTGTAAGGACCCATATTGTGCGATTTTTTAATTATTGCAGAAAACTTTTTAAATGTTTACTGACAGTACAAGTAACTATGCCTAGCCTGACGTCCATTTTATGATACGCTAACTGCAAAACAAAGTTTGATGCACGTCACTAATGTCGTCATATTTGCCCAGCACTGTGCCCAACAATATCGCCGTTCCGGTAAAACAAGGACGCAAGTGCAAAATTGTGACATTTTGATTTTAACATGTCATTAGTTTCCAAATTAGTCTCTCTATACGGTATAATAACGGCGAAATTTTTTATCCACTCCCGGCCATCTAAATGGTAGTTACTTCAATTTTCAAATATTAATGTTTGCCCCTCCACTTTTGAAAAACAATGACATATGAATCAGTTGTGTCTGCAAATTTAAGGGAGACATTACTTAGTCTATGGTTAAATGTTGTATTTGCTATTTAGGACAAGTTCTTTGTGATTTATGTGCTCAAATTTGGAAGTAATAATATTCGTTTTTCGGCTCTCCTGAAAAATTTATAATTTTGCATTTGCGTCGTTGTTTTACCGGAACAGCGATATATGCTCGAAGTGCCCAACTTTTAAAAATAAACACATAAAATGGATTAAGTTTAATACCTATAGAATTTAATTTAAAATTAACAAGGGATGATAGAAAATGTTAAAAAGCAGAATTAAATCAGAAGAAACATATACATCTAACTTTGTTTTGCACAACCTATACATAATTTAACTTTTTTGAATGAAGACAAGTAGTTATTTCAAATATTTTTTAAAATAAAATATTAATTAATGTATGCTTTCGATCATTCGATTACTTGAAGAATTTTGAATAAAATTGTATATCTATGCAACCATTATTACTTTCGTTGTATTGTTAGTTGCAGAACTTTCATTAGCATAGTTAGAAAATCATAATAATTATCCCTGTAGAGTTTTTCTTGGTTGTTAAAGCTTATTCGATTTAAGAAAGTGGGTTATTTTGTCATGCATTGAATTAAACAGTGTTTTGATTATTTTATGCAAATTTGGGATAGGAAATAGGGACCGAAACAGAATTATTAGTAATTGTAAATTTGCTAACAAAATCTTTTATTATATAGCCAACTTTCAAAAGTAATGTATATGGGGTGGCGCATTAGAAACAGTCCACCTCTAATATTATTGGCGGGAGAGGTTTTTGCGACAAACCCCGAAACACGTCAATTTTGTTATCGAGGACAACTTTTGATCGTTAACTCATGGTTGTACGGTCATCCCCCTAAAAGGGGTGGTAACCCCTTCGAGAATCTTTAATGGCATAGGGGTCGAGTGGCTCATCATTTGAAAGGTATTTCGATTCACTTTACAGACATGCTAAACATTTTGTGTTAAGTGTTAAAATTATTGCCAAAAACCAGCTGGAATTGTGGGTGAAAGAAATTAAAAAAAAAGTTTCCAGAAAAGTTTTAATTAAAGTAAGTGTTCAAATTGCGATTCATTTACTTCCAAACAGTAATAAAACCTTTGTTCAACACTGTTCCGAACATTTTGTAGCATTGCAGGCGTTATTTCACGACATACCACAGTTATCCGGTGGCGAAGATCTTCTGAAGAGTTCGGTTGCATTTTGTAAATAACACTTTTTAAATAACCTCATAAGAAGAAGTCCAACGGTGTTAGATCTGACGATCTTGGGGGCCATTCACTAGAACCTCTTCTACCAATACAATGTGCGGTAAAATATTGATTTAAAAAGTCACGCACAGGAGCTGCAGTGTGGTGGAGTACCAATCATTCTCTGGGATCTGATCATCGTTTTCCATTGTTTCCACAATGTGAGGGTAGATGTTGTCTTCGAGCAAATTATGATAAGATTCACCCGTCAAGTTTTGAGGTAGGAAAAACGGACGAACAATATTATTTCCAAAAACCCCAGCCCAAACATTCAATTTTTCGGGATTCTGTGTATGTTGTTTTCTCATAATTGCAGGATTTGCATCACTTCAGTATCTGCAATTATGTCTGTTCACGTAACCATTAAAAAAACGTGCATTCGTTAGAAAAGCATGTTGAATATAAAAAGTGGGGATTGTCCACAACTCTTCTAGTAATCGCCTCACAAAATTGGATACGGAGATCTGGATCATCTTCGTTGAGCTCTTGCACGAAATGAATCTTATAGGGATAGAATTTATGCTGTTTCAAGGCCCTCTGAAGGCTTCTACGTGGAATTCCTGTAGCTGCTACTATTTGTTCCATGCTTGAAGTGAGATCCAATTCAACATGTCCAAAAAGTGTAACCTGTGTAGCCTCGTTAGTAACAGTATGTTGTCTTTCATATTTTCGGTTAGAAACGTTTCTAGTCTCCATGAATTTAGACATTAAATTTATCACATAGGTATGTCTTACATTCTTACCGGAATGCCGTTCATTAAAAACTCTTGCAGCTGCCCGAGCAGACTTGTTGTTTCTAAAATAGTGTGCGACAATTTCAATTCTCTCTGCAGTGGTACAAACCATGATAATTAGGTTCATTTACTTTCAAATAGCAAATGAAGAAATTTCACTAAAATAAAACTGGGTACTCGTAAAATTCTACTAAAAACCATTAACTTATCTCGTTAAATGCTGATAAATATCTTGTTTGCTGTTTCAGTATCTAGTTATTAATTGCAGCTTTTTATTCAATTTCTTTAAAGACGGGGTCTCCCTATGTAGACCTGTAATTTAAAAATGCAATTTTCAGCCAAATTAAAGATAAAGATCTTACTTAGGTAGTCTTACTATTTTAAATTGTTGGATAATTAATTTTCAATTAAAAGAACAATTTTAAAGTAAAAAAACTGTTAAATGTCTCCATGGAAATGAAAAAATGGGGTTATTTTAAAATTATGGTTTTTATTGAAAATCGTCAATTTAACAATTTAAAATAGTAAGAATACATAAGTTAGATCTTTATCTCTAGTTGGGATGAAAATTAAATTTTTTAATGCCCTACTTTCGGAAATCGGTCGATTTAACTTTTGGTATACATTAACGGACATTTTAAAGTGGTTTTTGGCATTAATTTTAACACTTAACACAAAAACCTTTCAAATAATGTGCCACTCAACCCCCAATGCCATTAAATATTCTCGAAGAGAATGACCGTACAACCATGAGTTAACGATCAAAAAATGTTCCCCCTTGATAACAAAATCGACATGTCTCGGGGTTTGTCGAAGAAACCTCCCCCGCCAATAATATTTGAGGTGGGCTGTTTCTAATGCGCCACCCTGTATATTGCTTTTAATCCAAAGAAATTCATATTATGTTTTCATTTGACAATGACTTTTTTTGTAACCAGTTACATAGTGTTCAACTGTATATAATTGGTTATATAAAATTGAACATTTTGACATTTGTAGCGATTATAAAAAATTTTACTTTATATGTCGAACTTAGAAAAATTATTTTATCGACAAATTCAAATCGAAAACTGACATTGTCAGAAAGTGCCGGAACTAGCGCTGTCAAACTTAGTAACGGTGATTAAATAAACCAATTAAAAACGAGGGACTTTTCTCTTTCGGGGGAGTAGGTGATGAGCACAAAATGTAGCACGGGCAAGAGGGAAGGACTATCTGAAGAAAAGTATTTGCTCTGAAGAACATTGTAGAGGATACGACTCTCTCTAGAAAAGTACTTACTAGGAGATTCGACGTTAATGACATTAACAAATACTACCAACTTAAATATGAGTATTAGGGTTTCCCTAAATAACTATTACGTGACATTTTTGAAATTATTTTTACACATCCAAGTCATTAATGGTTGGATATTTTTATTTTATTGTTATCGAACATGCAGTTTTATGATCTTGATCTTGTTCTTTTTCAGACTATGTGCCCGGTGTGTCTTGATAGACTGAAGAACATGATATTCCTTTGCGGACATGGATTATGTCAAATGTGTAGCGATCAAATGACCGAATGTCCAATTTGTAGGAAAGCTGTTGAAAAAAGAATATTGTTGTACTGAGTAAAGTTGTTATTCACTTAGCTACAATAATAGCAATAGCGAAACATTTATTTTTGCTAGTTGTCCAAATTATTTTTTTGCTTAATTTGATTATTAAAATAACTAACCTCTTTTTTTTATATTTTAAACAGTTTTGATGTTAACGATTTAAGTTTTGTTTCATGCAAGTGTCCAAATAGCCTATAATTATATTTTTCCTAATTTGTTGTTTATTGATATAGGTATTTGTTTACTAATTATTATACCTAAGTAGTTGTATTTAATTAACTCTTGATTGCTATAATTTATTATAATAGGAAATGTATGTTTTTATGTTAGCAATATAAATAAACTTGACATATAGCTAAATACGTTTTTGAACTAACAAAATAGGTACAGTCAGGTAGAATAAGTAAAGTAAATTACGCCAATTAAATTTTATTGTTAATGGTAACTTTTAAAAAGATACAGGGTGATCCAGATTAAATTTTCTTGTAAACGAATTTCGTAAACCAGCAGATATAGAGGATCAGTTAAATTAAAAAAAAAAAATATTTCAGTGGCAAGTTTCATGACACTGTAATGTATTTTTTCTACGCCCATGTCAGTAAACGTTAAAAATCGCACTATCAACATTCTTTGTAAATGACATTTAACAATAACATGCACGTAATGAGATCTCATAAAATATACGTGAGTTTTGATAAGAAAACTTAAATTTATTGGTTTAATCAAATCGCAATCAAATTTTTGTCTACGTACGACTATATGTATTTGGTCTAGTTACATAAATTTAGCCATTTAAAAAACAAAAACTTTTAGCATTAGCGAGATACATTTTGGATTAAAAGAGTGATGCCCCTAAATGTCAGCAATATATTATACAATTTTTCAAATAATATGTCGCGGTTTCTTAGCATGCTATGGAAATAAACGTAATGCCATTTATATTGTCAATTTTTGTAATAAAATATGATTGTATCCGAACATTTTTTCAACTATCTACGAATATGTTTGTTAGTAGTGAAAGTGATAAAATTATGAGCACTCCACCGAAGATTTCAGAAAAAGCTCAAGCTGCCACACATAATTTGTTACCGCTTAAATCCAAAGAAAGGTACGAAATTACCTATCGAAAATTTATGGATTGGCAACACAAGCATAACGTTAAATCCTTTTTGAGAATGTTTTAAGTGGGCGTAGAAAAATTATAGTACGTTACACGAGTTGTAAGCCCATTACGCACTGGTGAAACTTTTTCACTTCGTGCGTAATGGGTTACTTACAACTCTTGTTACGTAATATACTATAATAAAGCAGTGTTAGTTTAAAAAAGCCATAAACAGCGTTCTAACAATGTCTTTCTATTGTAGTGTTTTTATTTTTCATATAAAATTCTGCATTGTCTAACACCTAAAATGCAACCATCAAATATCAATTTTTTTCAGACGTATACGAGGTTTCTCAAAATCTTTTTCAGCTTTTTCAATTTTCATAGGGGGAGTTGGAGTTCGCTTATTTTCATATTTTCAAAATTCCGTCCTTATTTTAATTATTTTAAGGGAAGATCAAACGCCTAAACATAATTCTGAAAGAGTTTTTGGATCTTTATTGTGCTCTGACCATTGATTATTATCTTGACCAGCCAAAATTTGATTGGGGAAAATTGTTTTTAGAATTTTCACTCGGTTTCACTTAGAATTAGACAATCCAAAATCACGTGACTTTAAATAGTGGTAAAAACGACAAAAGTGACTGTTTTGTGACAGCAAAACTTTTAGTGAGGTTGTTAGTCAGATGTGTTATTGTTTTCAGGTTTTTAAAGTTACAGGGTGTTAAAGTTAAAATATTTTTTTCATTTTTTGGTAATTATTTCACAACGTATTCATAAATCGTTATCAAAATTGGCACAGAGGCGTACGTATAGGCAAGAAATATTATTTTATATTTTGATACAGGTGTGTCACAAAAGCAATTCTTGTTGATGAAATTAGGTAAGACCTTTTTTCTTATTAAACTTTTTAGTAAATTAGAAAATATGAATTTTCTGTAAACATTTTATACTTCTTGAAACTTAATAATTTTAACGATTTTCGAGAAAAACGCAATTAAACACTTTCAAATAAGAAACAATAAACGAACTTGTAATGCCAAGCAACAAACAAAATAATAAAAATAACAAGCTCAAAGTAAATGTCCTACATGGCATCCTCCTACTTCTATACCTTTTCTAATTTATTTTGATGAAAAACTGTAATATTAAAAAATATATTATACTTCATACAATAAAAAAAACCAATACATGTCATCGATGACGTAATAAATTTTAGACCGTCATAGCTCCACACCGTTGCCAAATTTTTAAAATAATTGGGGAATCTTTGAAAGTTCCGACAATTGTAGCTACAGAAAAGAAAAGCAGCTGTAAATCGTTATGATCTTAGCCAATAAGAAATACCAGTCAGTAGTATGTTCTATGTATAAACATGAATCTATTAAGAACATCAGTTGAGTAAGGTTTTTCAAAAATAATATCAAAATTTGGTTTATGGGATTGTATTAACATAGCGTGTAGAAGCATTATTATAATGTTGCAGTTATTTTAGCTACCTGAACAATATTTAGGTATCAAAAAATGAAAACAAATATTTTTCAAAACGACGACTTTTATTTTACAGTTTGTTAGTTATATAAAATTCCTATACAAATAACAAAGTAAATATTAAACAAATAATAAAAGGTAAACTAAAGAATATAATTATGATTACACTACAGTACTGCAACCGATTATATTATTATAACTTCAAATCATCACCATAATTGTAACAATGTCTCTTTCGACGTCTCTTAAGATTGTTATTCAGATTCATCGCTACTGAAATTACTATCATTGCTGTTTGGTGTAATAATAATTGGAGCAATTTCTATTCTATCAATTATTCCCTCTCTATCGTACCTTTTTGAGATTTCTTTTTCTGTATGGCTGATACTTGTTTTCCAAATTTGTGATGTTATGGTCCGGAGTGCTTCTAACCACATATTTAAACAATTTTCTTTTTTTTACCATCTCGATCAATATGTCTATTGTAATATTGCTTTGTAATGCCCCAAATAAGTTCAATTGGATTGAATATACAATGATAAGGAAAGAGGCGTAATACTTTATGTCCATATTGTTCTGCTAGAAAATCAGCAATGTAAATTTTTGGTAGTTTATTTCTAAAAGAAAGTAATTGAGAAATTACAGACGAAACAGATTTCTTTTACTGCTTGTGTAACAAGATTCAGAAGTTCCGCTTTAAACATAGCAAAAAAAATCTAATATTCTGCATTGTCAGCCACTCTTGTGTTTTAATCTTTGTCCAGCTAGCGTTCGGTGTTTTATGTACTGTGATATGAAGCATTGTCCATTATGATTAAGGATGGTTCATTAAGTTTTTTCAATAACTGTTCTTCAAACCATTTTAAAAAATTCTCATTATTCATTTCACCATGACAATCAACTCAGCTTACTTTGTGACGCAAATATAGCCTCTGCTCCTTCAATGAACCCATTTTAATTTCCAGCATTGAGTATAATGTACCTATAAATAAAAATTGTAACTGAAGCATGTAGCTATATTCTAGTAATTATTTACGTACCTTTTACCATCAACTTTTGTGGTTTTCACACTTCTTTTATTTTTATCTTGCCAAGAACGGTTTTGAAAAATCCACGTCTCATCAATAAAAAGAAACTGAAATAAACCTGTTTCCTTTTCTTTCATGTAATTTCTTAAAAATACAGCCCGTTTCACAGTAACATCGAAAAGTTCCATAAGCCCTCGCCTTGGATCATCTTTTTTCCATTATATTTTAATAAGGTACATAATGACATGCGGCATCCATTAAACAATTCTTTTTCTTTCAATTTTACTAATAAAGAATACAAAGTTACATGTTCGTAAATGAATATTTATTGTCATAAAATGATAGAAAATAAATTAAATCTCTAAAAAAATACGCAAGCCAATTCAACTAATGTTCAATTAGACCTTCAAATCGTAATATTGCATTTGCTAGGTATTACTGCAGTAGAGGAAATATGTCATCGATGACGTGAATTGGTTTTTTATATTGTATGAAGTATTCGCTCCGTGCGCGACAGCAGCGCCAATTTGTTTTGGTATTAAAGGAGTATTTCTGCCTATACAGACAAATACAATTTTTAATAGAATTCGTAAATACAAAGTATATATGTTAGTTTTAATAAAAGTATATGGATTTATAAAACAACTAAAACATTAATTTTTTATTATTATTATATATTTTTCACGCTTAAATTGAAGAAAATTATGTATAATCATTAAAAGTCAATAATAAAATATAGGCAGGCAACAGTATTTACTGGAAAATGTATGAGAAGTTGCCTAAGTCTAATAAGTTGTCATTGAAGAAACCATTTATATTAGCGTGAAGTTAAATGTATAAAAAGGATCGCTACTTATAATTTCATTTTTGTTCTAAAGAAAACATAGAATGAATGATTAAAACTGGTTTCCGATCATTAAGTCACAAAATTGCATACCAGCCAAATATTATAATCAACGGCAGAAATCTTGAAATCTAGTCCTTGCTGAATGAACATTTAAGAATAAAGGGATATTAAAGAACATCGTAAAATGATAATTTATTGTTTATTTAAAAACTTTCTAGTTTCTGATGTCTACTATTTCCAGCATTACTGTTATTATCACAAAAATAAAGGTAATTTTTCTTCTTATTGTACACCTATCCATTTATTTCTTTGATTTAATTTCCACTTTGTTAGTGAAATTTGTTATATAAGTTTCACTGTTTTTTTTTGCTAGTATTTGTACAATTTTCAACACAGCAACTCCGGTTGCTTATTGTGTTGTTTTTACCTACTTTTTTGAAAAAAAGTAAAATGTATACGTGTATTTGATATGCCAAAATTACAAAATATCCCCCTAAAATGCACGAATTATCCGCAGCTAGCGCTAGTATCGCTTTTGCTTCCCTTTCCATGACTTCGCACGGAGCGAATACCCACATCTTGTAGTTTTTCCCCAAGATTAAAAACCCAGTGAGTTTTAATCAGAAATTCTAAAATATATAAAATTCCTTTCCGAGACTGAAATGTTCAATTGCGTTTTTCTCGAAAACGGTTTAAATTATAAAGTTTATACAGATATAACATTTTTACATAAAAAGTACGTTTACAACATGTTTCTACTAAAAGGTTCCGTCAAAAAAGATATGACCGAATTTCATTATCAGAAATCTCATAAGTGGCGCCTCCGCTGTAACGAATTGTAAAGAAATAAATAAAATAATATTCTTTGTCTAAAGTTATGTTTTTTTGACAATTTTGATAACGATTTATGAATACATTTTGAAATTATCAGTAAAAACTGTTAAATTCCTTTTTCCACGGCAACATTTTGTTATGGCAATCTTCATATTTTGGTGTAAATGACCTTCATTTACTTTATGTTTTAATAATGTATGCAATTTTTAATAAAAAACACTAATGAAAAAGTTAGGATATATATTTGATTTCTTTGCACATCGTCGGCCATATTGGAGTTTTTTTACAGGACATTGAATTACCTAATTAGTTTAATGGCTGTGATTTAATTTTATTTCTATTATTTCATGGTCAATCGGATTCTACTCTTTGAAAACTAAAATCCTCAAATTTTTTCGGACCAGCTTCACATAGCTGACAGGAAACAACATTTCACGTCTGCACGTCGCTTGTATAAATCAGACATCACGAAATGGGTAAATGCGTTAAAAGGGTAAAGAAATAGGTGAATTCAGACCCTGGAGCATACACTTAACAGGAAAGATGTACTGCCATTTCCGACGTCTAGAAAATATTTTTTCAAATCTATTATTCCACAAATAAAATAAAACAATTCATGAAGAATAAAGAAAAACATAAACAGTAAGAATAAATTTGGTTAAATTTTATTTTTATTTTACAATTATTATTGTCAATAAGTATACTCCTTTTTTTAACTTGAGGTGGTTCTGGAAATTTCAGACATTTCCCTGTTTAATATTGGGCCACATGTATGGATTAGAGGAGATAGGAAAGGGATATTTTCTTCCGAGTTTCAAAATAAGCACACCATATAGGTCGCCGTGTTTGCAATTTAAGAGACTGATGCAATGTGCAGTTGCTGTAGTGTTTCGACAGAAGTATCACGTATGTCAATTTGTCTTGATTTTTGTTCAAAATTTGCTATTTTAATAAATTTAAAAGAGTTTTAGGAATTTTTTCTATAGACAGTTAATAAAATAGTAACGAATTGCTATTTTTGTTATTAAACGACGAGGATTTACAAAACATTACATTCCACAAGTAAGATATCTTTTCTACCAGAACCATATGCTTTATTTTCTAGAAAACAAAATATCATAGTACAATATCAAATTTTAACGTTGATACCTATTGTTATAAATTTTTTAAATTGAGGAAAACCACATGCTTCTTGGTCAATAGCTATTGGAAGAAATCCATTTGAAAATATAGGCGCAAATAACATTTTCATAAAGATGTTTTAATCGTTTCAAAATGAAAAGTTACAATAAAAAATAATGCAGTACCTTCTATAAATCGTCCTAAAAATTGTAGATTTTTATAACATTAACAATTTGTTTATTTTTAAAATATTCAAGGTGTTAAAAAAATTGTGAATTATCCTTATTATTTTGAGAAATTTATTAATTCAGAATATAACAGGGAATTGGAAGTTGCCAATTGGTTACTTTTTTATTAAGGGATTAGATGGTAGTGAAAGAGCAAATGTGGTGTTAGAGGGATCTTCTAAAATTGCATGAATATGGAGTTATCATCTCCTCATTATCATTCGATTGATTTAGAGCCAATTTCACAATGATGAAAACATTAGGTGTAAACCTATACAACTTGGATATTGAAACTGCATTAAATTCGCTATAAATAAAAGCAAATGTTTTATAATTTTAGATGCATGTCACATTCTTAAGTTGGTTTGGAATAACTGGGATATTCTTACTAAAATTGTCGACACTTATGGCGAAATTATTGATTTTAATTATATAAAGTTGTTGCATTATATTTAAGATTTACGTTTGGGTAACAAATTAAGAGTGGCCCATATAGAGTGGAAAAAACAAATGAAGGTTTGTATACTTAAACGATTTTAGAAATTTTATTGGAACTATTTTAATACAATAAAAAACTTAATTTTGAATCAAATATCATATCAAAAGAAACTTAAAACTTTAGATAGTAGATATGTTATTCAGACACCAAAGAATAATATTGGTTTTCTAGACTTTATTTTATCAAGTTTGTAATGAGAAATAACAAAATAAAAATAATATACATAACGTAACGTAACGATTTCGACGCTATACTAATGCTGCGTTTGAATATCCACATCGGATGCATCTGAGATGTTAAATCTTTAATCACGTGATTCAATATACGTAAGTCAATATGTCCGAAGTAGACAAACAAACGCTCGATATGTAAAACATGCATTGGATGTGGATATTCAAACGCAGCAAATCAGGGGCTGGTAACTCAAATGGAAAAATATCAAACTTAGAAAAACTAAAATGGCTGTTGCAGTTGCAGGTGTATTGAATTTTGGTTCATCTAGATTTATTTTTCAATACTTTCCAATTTTAAGCATGTTTTCAAAAGATAGGAAGATGGATTTCAGCAACGAACAATAAAGCACTCCCAGATATTGGTAGTGATGCAATTTATACCACATATTAAATATGCAGTCATCATATTAAGGATAACCAAACAAATTGTAATAAGTATTTTAAGAAAAATGCATCTTGCACTGTGTGGCACCAATGGGAAATAATATTTACAAACTTGATTTTGATTCAGTGTTAAAATAATTGGTTTGTTGTTTTAATTTATTTGTTTTCAGTTTTTAAATGATCATTGTTATTGTAAAGAAAATATTGGCCCTCTAAAATACCCTGTAAATCGATGAAAAATGTGAGCCTCAGCTATCAATATCAAAAATTGATTCAATGTCATTGGCATCAAACAAGAAAACTTACCCCAAAATCTTCAAGGATAAAAACGTCAGTAAGTTTAAGTTCGAAAGCTAACTTCATTTATAACAGTGCCCAGATGATGAATAAGAATTTGATAAACTATCAGTGCTGTACAAATAAATCAATAAAACAAATATCGGATGAAGAAATGCTTCTCAACCTAACTAGTCGACTCAATAAGCGTTTGGCAAATTTTAACCACACTTAAATTCGCCTTGATAGTAAGACACCAAAAGGATGATGCTTTTTTCAAACTTATTTGCCACTCCATGTCGCAAAACTTTTATAAATGTCTTGAGCACTATACATGCTGATTTTGTTACAGAAAACATTTTTGATAGGTCTGTTTTATAAATTATAATTAATTAAATGGTGTAAATGCATATTTGAGTATTGCCATGTTTAAATAGACAAATTATATGATGCGGTGTTAATTTACTGTAAAAAATATATAATAAATATTTAAATATATTGAAGTAAAATCAAATATAAATTGGCAAAATATGTGACTAGTTTGAAATCATAAAACAGTCAATAAGGTTGTTTTATGATTTGAAACTAGTCAGATATTTTTCAAATATACATATATTCTTCATAACATTTTTGCCCAGCAAGCAGAAACTTAAATTTCAAAAAGTCCGCTCCTGGCGACCAAATTGAATTTAGTACCACTCCAATATGATAGATGGCAGCACATCGCCTCAAATTTTACAATTGAGTTTCCCATCTATTCACTTTTCCCTAATCCATGCAGCAAATGCTACGCGTAAGAGATCGGAGAATTTTGCATTCGGCTATCTTTTTAGCCATCTATTGGCAAATAGACAACAATAGATGGCAGTTGTAAATATAGGCAACTTATATTACAAATTGCTGTATTCTGTGTTGCCTGCCAACAACAAAGTTTAGCTAGAGATGTGCGGAAGAGAGCACCCTGCTCTATACTGGTAATAATTCAACCATTGGTAATTGGAAATAGCAAAAAATTTAAAAATACAGCTACAAAGCAACAAACTTCACCATGCAATTCCTCGTGCTAGATTGGAAAGTCTAGATCGTAAAAATTGCTTTGTTACCATCTAACAGACCTAGTTTAAAAGTTGAAACTCATTTTCCCATGATGAAATGTATAGGATTTTTAAATTTTCATCTATAAAAATATCAAATATCCTTTTGAGGCAGGTATCCGAGATATTATATGTAGAACGATGCCAAAAACTAATATAGGTTGCAAGTACACTGAAGTTAAAAAAAAAGGAGTATAAAGCACTATAAACAATAAAACATAATGAAATCAATCAACTGTCCGTCCCCTAACAGTTCTGCGTAATGATTACCAAAACGGACACAAAATAATAATTTTTTAAATCAGTGGCGTCAAAAATATTCCCTGAGGCCGTTCCATATCTTTGACTAAATGAAGGAACAAGGAACACGAAAATATTTTCAGAAATGAAATTCGAAATTTCAGTTCTGTGCCCTTCCTTCCTCGGGCAGCATTTTGACAACTTAAAACATAACCTCAAATTTTTTAAGTGCGATTATCGAATAATATTAATTTGATTGCATGAATGCATTTAACATAAAATATGAGTAATACAACGGAGAAAGCACTCAGTTTGCTTCGTTATCTGCCAAGGGTCTGTCTTGCTAATATTAGAGATAACCCTGGAGCCAAAAAAGTAAGTTTGATTTTAAATTTAAAATTATTCATTTAGTTTGAATTTCTTGTGCTCTAGAAATCCAGAAGAGGCCGAGCTCAACATGGAGGTGACTATCACGGTGCTGGCAACAAAGGTTCAAATCAGAGGCAAAACTTTATGCGTATAGGTTATGAAACTGGAAACAACCCATTTTATTTACGTTTTCCACATGAACCTTATTATAAAGGACACCAGTAAGTATTTTGACAATTAAAAGCTATGTTGTTAACTAGGGCAAACTATTACATCTTTACTTGCAAATGGCTAGAAATATCCTGTCACTATTAGTAAATATTGATCTAACCCATTTCTAATTCTATTTATTTCAGCTTGAAAAGGCAATATCCTCCACTATCATTGCTGGATTTACAAAAATTAATAGATACAAATCGCATTGATACCTCAAGACCAATAGATTTAGTGACAATTTTGAACACAGGACTTTACAAATTATTTCCGGATCAACACCATTTTGGAGTCCAATTAACAGATGAAGGTGCAGACATATTTGCTGCAAAAATTAACTTAGAAGTCCAATGGGCTTCTGAACAAGTCATAGCAGCAGTAGAAAAAGCTGGTGGAGTTATAACAACAGCTTACTATGATCCTCACAGCTTACAAGCTATGGTTAATACAAAAAGTTTCTTTGAAAGAGGTAAGCTTACAGCAGAATATTTATTCGAAAATATCTCAAAAACTAAAAAATAGTCTCTAAACTTTTGGATGTAAAAATGCCAGTAGGCACACAAACAACAAAATAGCATTGAGTTGATTGACATTTGATTTTGTTTTCATTAAATATAACAGAAATAGAAATGAATGATATATTACCACTCTAATGTTAGAGGCCTAACCATACTTCCAATCACAGGCTTACCTTCTTTAATCCTCTAAAGTCCAATTATAATTAAGCATCTCATAGTTGAGAACTCATATATTCGAAAGTTGTTTTAAAATTAAATAAATGAAAATAAAATAAAACAAAAAGATCAAGTATTTTATTTTTCAGGTATTCCCATTCCTCGTAGAATGATGCCGCCTCCAGATGCTATAGAATATTATTCAAATCCAGGCAATAGAGGTTATTTGTCTGATCCTGAAAAAATATCAGAAGAACGTTTAGTATTAGCACAAAAATATGGATACACATTGCCCAAATTAGATAGTCGAATATTAGAAATGTTAAATGAGACAAAGGATCCCAGGCAGATATTTTATGGTTTGCATCCTGGTTGGGTTGTCAATTTAAAGGATAAAGTGATTCTTAAACCACTTGAAGAAGAGTTGAAAGAGTTCTATGCTTTATAGATATTGTAGTAAAAATAGGATTTATTAGTGTTTCCAATAAAATATAACTAAAACGTGTTAGTATACATTTTTTTTTTGTAACTATAAGGAGATAACAATAACGAAATTGTCAGAAAGTTGAATGTCAAAAAATGGTGGAGAACCAAATTACATCAAAAGTGACCTTGCAATAATTTGTCTTGGATTTTAGTTTAATATAGAACATTTATAAATTTAAATTATTTAATTTTCCCTATGGCAAGCAGACATTATTATTTAGTTGTGTTTAGATTCAAAAAGAAATGAGTTTCCTTTAATACCATAGTGTGTTAAGAGCAATCCAGTCCCTTCTGACGTCACACCGCACGAATCTCACGACCTCCCCTTAAAGTATTTGGAACCTTGTTCACTACATAAATTTGGCAATTTTGTGTGTTGTGCGCTGAAGGATAATTATACAGGGTAGGGTCCAATTACAATTCAGGTATAATTCGTTGGCTATCGCCCACATACTTTGATTACTATACGAGGCAAGAGAGAGGTCCGACACGCCCAACATAGGGTGCGGCCATTTTGAACCCTGTGACACAGTTTACAGCTAAAGAATCAGATCGCTCACTCTGCGTCGGCACTTTGGAGCTCAATGTTTCAGTTTATACACTGTGCAACTCGGATAATACAATATATGACAACCGCCTATAATAAAACAGCAGTCTTCTGCGTATCCTGAATTTGTATCCCTGGAGTGGATGTTATTTTGGAACTTTCAACTGGTCCGAGTGAGCTAACTGATTCTTTAGCAATAAACTGTAACTTCAAAAATAATATTCACTGACAGCAGCAAGCAAAATATCAGGTTCGTTTTAATCATCCACTTCTGCTTCCGGAATTGTCGGTTTAGTCGTTTTAACCTGTCAGATTAAAACAAGAAAACTGAAAATTCCGAAGCAGAAGCGGATGATTAAAAAGCACCTATTAAAAATATTGCGCCAAGATGTAGGCAACACGTAATAAGGGTTCAAAATGGCGGAGTTTTCTATCTCCTTTTAAAAGGCACTCAGAAAGCTGCGCAGTGCGACCATTCTCCGTATAGTAAAAGAAAATCAAAGTATGTGCTATCGCCGCACATACGGCAATTAGCGGGAATTAGCACGCCAAAAATAGTTGTATTTTTCAAAGTAATTTTTTTGCTTAGATTTAATTGAAAAAACAATGTAAGTTGTTGAATAGACTGCCAGGTTGTCACATTTCACATAAAAATGCATAAAAAGTGGTTTATAAATAAAATTTTATTTAGTTATCTAATTAAGGCGTCAAGTTTTAATCATTTATATAACACTACTAAAATACGTGAAAATAATGCACATACATTTTGAGAACGCTTTACGTCATTATTTTAATGATTAACTGAAATACAAATAATGTACAGAAATTAGTTTTTTATTCGGAATTATCAGTCACTATCTGGATTTATATCACGTTGTACACCATCTAAACTATAACTTAAAAAAGTAACATAGTACAGCTTCTGAAAAAGGGTTTATTTCGCTTTTTTTTTGTATTTGTAATCAGGGGATATGATGACAGTAGCATTCTATTCATTATGTCTCTGTCCGTTCCAATCACGATGTCTTCCGTGAGTGATACAACCTTACAAGCTAATACTTCTTCTGGAGTGTATATAGCCATGAATCAAAATATGACGAATTATGAATTTCTTTGGTTTTTTCTCTGTGCGCGGAGACAAGCTTATAGCTAATTTTATAACTTGCGCCGAAGTTCTTTCTCCACTATTGAACAGACTCATTTCTGCAGCTTTGCAAAGTGTTTCTTTGGACATGCTTAACACAAGAGGTCCTACTTTTCTTAACTTCGACCGTACAGAGCTCTCATCGAAAAAATTTTTTGGTCTTCCACGTTTTTGATAATTTCTTACTTCTTCTGCCGTGGGTGTTGCAGAGATATTAGAGTCTAATCTAGGATTTATTATCTATCTATCCATAAAGCATATTTTTTTGGTGAATCTTGCGGGTTGTACCTTTGCATATCTTCCACTTTATGTTAAGTTTCGACAAGAATATCTTTATAGTACATTTAAAACGTTTTTCCGAGCACGTGGGAATTTCTGATGTATTAAATTTAATTAATATGTACCGTTCTACTTTTTCAATGCACTTAGCAGTCAACAGTTTAAAGAATTTATCGCTTTGTAGAACAGAAAAAAATTCATTTCTAGTGATTTTTGGGAGATGCGGATCAACGTTGTTGTGACTACCTCTAAACAAAATAACTTGTATCAGACAGAGGACACTTGGGGACGCAAATTTTTGTAAAAACTCTTAAAGATTAACTTTATAACATAAAAAACGAGAGTGGAACTCGGTGGAACTTTTTTTGTAGCCCTCGCAGAAATTAGCCGTATACAAAAAAGAATGAATAAAATTAGGTCCACCAAAAGCTGCCGTTATTATTAGGCAAGAAACAAATAAATACATTGTTAATACTTGAATAAGAAATACATACATGAAGCTTCACAGTAAATCTTGAAAAATGTCTTGGATTACAACATTTAAACAACAACACGTACTTTTCCAACAAGTGTTCGCATGCTGATTTATGCGTCAACTACACTTAAGACTGAAAGTGCACTCTTTCTACCCATATTACTCTCTTATTTATCCGCGGTTCTCGGTGGCGTAAAGCCAGATAAGAGCACGAATGTATACAGAACAATACTGTGTGGATGAAACATGTTTTTAAAATATCTATTTTTTTTATTTTTGGCGCGCTAAATAAGGATAATTGCCGTGTGTGCGCCGCCTACTAGGGGTTAGTGGCTTGTTAATATATGAATGTAGGAATACTATTTTTAAACCAAACAACTCAAATATTTTTTATTTATTGATAGTTATAGATGATATACAGGGTGTCCCGAAATAAGACGGTCATATTTTAACAGCGTAATCTACATCCTAAAATAGTAGTAAAAGTTCATATAAACATAGGTCCGAAAACTTTTCTTTTCCGAGATACAGGGTGTTAAAGGTGAAGTCCTGATACCACACTTTTGTAAATATTTTCTAAACGTTTAAAGATAATTAGGTAAAATTCGGAACATCTGGGGGGGTACTTTATAGGTGGTCATTTTTATATTTTATGGAATATATCTGTTATTTTCGTTTGGGGAAGAAAATTCTTCAAATAAAAGTTACTTCTTATATTATCTATAATTTTTGTTCTATACAAGCGACCTTGACCAAGCACGACTAATTATTGAACCAAGCGAAGTTAACTGTCGTGACGTAATCTACGTGCGATGCACAAAATTATGCTAAAAATACTGTTACAACTCAACTTTTACAATAACTTAATTCAACTGATACAATAACTCCAACTGATAATATTAACGTCGACTTATGAACAATCCGGACTTTTCTTTGACAAGGAATGACATTTCTGGATAATTCTATCTTCTTTATTTATTAGTACCTTTACTTATGACGACCGCAGCACGCTACAGGGTGCTGCGTAACAATACTGTGGTTTCAAGCAGGTACATTGTTTCACCGATCTGTTGATCTCTCTTTTTAACTACATGCATTAGCGGAAACCTCTTGCGTTCAATCGACATATTGCACCGACAGATGCAATCAACCAGAGCGCAGTGGGGTACCAAAAAAAGTAGATTAACAGGTACGAGAGTAATAAATAAATTCAAATTGAATTTATATTAAGTTATTTATGTGATTTTAAACTTTAACTGGGTGTTCACTGCACAAATGAACGAATGGAAAAACCGACCCTAGTATATAGTATAAATAAATAAAACAAAGTGCAACTATTACATTAGTCCACACATTTTTGATAGGATTTAGATCTGGCGAGTTTCCTGAATATTCAAAGCATGAAATAAGTTTTTTTCTTGAAATATTTAATAATGACCTACGACACGTGACATGGAGCCGAATCTTGTTGATTTTCATAGTTTTGGTACTGCTTTTTTGTAAATGTACCGGATCTCATGTGCTAGTTGAAGGCATAATTAACCCTTAAAAAAATGTAGAAAAATGCTAGAACAAAGACTGGAAAATGAACTAAGAAAGTTTATCAACAAGATTCAGCTTCATGTAATCCGTCAAAGATCATTAAGAAATAATTCAAGGACAAAAGGATTTCATACCTTGATTGGCCAGGAAACTTACCGGATCTAAATCCTATCGAAAATCTGTGGGCTACTATAAAAGCTAGCCTTCGTTAAATAGGTTGTATAACAAAACAAATTGAGTCTGTAATCCAGGTGTGGTTTCGAAAGCAGAAAATATTAGAACTGCAAAAAAAATTGTTGCCAAAATGTGTTACAAAAAGTTATAAAAGCCAATTTAACTTTTAATGCTATTCTATTTTTTTTTTCTTTGTAATCAATAAACGATTTCTCTAAATTATCATTTGTGTTGACACTCCTTGGCACAGTTGTGTAGTTTAATCATGGAGGTAGAAGGTAGGGAGACGCTATGAGCATCTTTTTCAAACATTCAAAACGGTATCACTTAGTCGTGGTGACAGTCATTCCAATATGGCCGTTCTGCCAGGGCCGGACTATTGGTAATGCAACTCTAATTTGCTTTTTTAATTAATTGTAAGTTATAAATTAATTGTCATAAATGGATAATTATTAACAGTTTTAATAAAAGTATTAAGAAATTATTAAAATGCAAGTAAAAGGAGACTTTCTGTAACATAGTTAAAAAAAAAATTCCTCATTTCATTTTATATGTCACGGTTTATCAGTTACGGTTTAACATAAAATAATCAAACAGTTGTTAAGGTATTAATAGAAAATATATTTAATTTACGCATTCCTCACAAATAAGCTTTTTTTAAAAGAGAATATAGTATAGCCAGCAATATATACGTTACAATATATTTTGTAAATTCCGATAGCGTAGGGTTTGGTAAATAATCATGATCATGCTCAGTATTATCTAGCACACTGTAGTAATTTTCTGATAAACCAAGAGCCCTGTAGTCTCTTGAAGATTCGTTAATTTGTTGAACGGGACATTTTAAAATTCGGAGCTCTTCTAGCGGAATACAATTTTCACGAAAACTCACGTACTTCGACATGTACTAATATTTTCTTATAAGCTGCCTGAAATTGTCGGGCGGTGGGGTTATTCTTGTGGCCTCCATGTGAGCGAATGCAGCCAAAGAATAATTCTATGTGGTCTTGAGATATTTTATACATTGGTAAAAACTGTAGAGTGTTGGAAGAAATATACTTATCCATGTCATTTAAAGAAGTTTCTATACTTTCATATTTGTTTAAAGACAAATGCTTTTTATAATGAAACTGAAGTAAATTTATGGAATTTAAGATAACAAAGAGAATATTTATGATTATTTTAAATCTAATTTTTGCACCAACTGCAACAAATTCTCTCATTTTTAATTCATCTTTACAAAACCCTAATATGGTTACAACACATTCACTCAAAGCACAATAAATATCTCAAATACGACCCTGCACATTGTTTACTATGTTGTATATTTAATTGTGGAATGTTATTTCAGATCATTTCTTCATATAAATATCTATTAGGTTGCTAAAAATACGTTTAGCACAAGCAACTAATGTTTAATTTTTAATATGTACAATATATAGTTTGCAAACGACATAAAAATTGAAAAACCGTTCATTGAAACCACGATTAGCTGTTTGAAGTATTTGTCAATCTAATATGGCGGAAGTGAACCCGTCTTGGACCACGTGACAGCGTCTCCCTACCTTCTACCTCCATGAGTTTAATATACTGCAAAAATAACATAACAGCTGTAACGGTTGGAACCGTTTTCGTTATTTTGACACCAACATCTCTACACAAATGTCATTTGTCGTTTATGCCTTGCGTCAAAAGTTCCCATTTCATTTTGATTTGTATTTATCAACGAATAAGTTGATCTAAATTTTAAATTATCTAAGGTAAGGTAAGTTTTAATACCGATATTTTGTTGAAAATATATATTTTGTACAAGAATTTCTTAAATGAAATGTAAGATTTTGAACATAACCTCAATACATGAATGGATAACACGTTTTGTATAATTTTAATATTATTTTGTTTGGGATGGATATTATGCTTTACTATTTTTAAATATGTTAAATAAGATTTTTCTTTTTCATATTAATTTTAGTCTCTGTGAAACTATTCAATTAATAGTTTAAATTGTTCAATTATTAGTTAAAGGCATTTTATCTGGTTCCTATGCAAATTTCCTAGTTTCTTAATATTGTTACCTTTTCCTTGTACAGTCTATTTTTATGCAATAAACCATATAAATTTGAATTAGTAAATCTCTGTGAATTAGAATTTGTTACTGCCTTATCTAAAACTTGGTTTAAACATAATATCTTAATGGTTAGTGATTTTCTATATTTTTATCATTAACCGATAGTCAAGTATAGTAAGTTTTAAATATAGTGGTGCCCAACTTCTTGTTCAAAGTAATACGAGTTATTTAATAACCTAACCCACTCCCAAAATCATTTGAGCTTAAAACACTATAAAAAATGGATAAAATAACAAGTATCACATTACACAGCACTTCATAAAATTCATCTTATGTAAAATTATATGAGATACAAATGAGAAATAATAAATAATTTATTGTATAACCAATTTACATTTTAAAAATATATGTTATTTACAACAGTAAATTTTCGCTACTGGTACTTAAATTAGGCAAAGATTTGAAAACACAGCTCCTATTATTTTTCACTATTTCAGTCTTTAAAGAATTTTGTAAAGAATATTTCTTTTTGCTACTAGAAGGGCACTCAATATCTAAAGCTAATATATTACTCCTAGATAAGTCAGGTGAGTTATTTGAGCTTTTCTCATTTTTTGGTGTTTCGCACAGATCTTCGACATGGACATCGGCTTTTTGAATCGATGATGCACTGCTCCTGCAGCATTTTACCTAAAATAAAATTAAAATCATATTTAAACGAAAGCAGATACTTTATGATGTTAATAATAAACAGATTTCTCAACTAATCAATGTCAAATACATTAATTTATTTATTAGATATCATCGGCTTAAAATGCAAATGCCTTAAGTCCAAAAATATTCAAATTTGAGACTATAAAGGTAGTAAGTCCTATAAAATTACCGTTTACTTTAGTTTCTAGAAAATAACACATGAAGGTTCTCTTACTATTTTTTAATACCTATGACGTTTTTCACTTAAATTACGACATACCAAATAAAACGGGTTTTTCAGTACCGTGTAAAATTTATATTTTGGGACTAGAGTTTAATTGCATTAATTTTAGATTCAAATGAATTTGAAAACTATAAAAGATAAAGAACTATTGTTTGGTATATATTTTCAAAATAAATCAGAGCAGTTACTGACGCCACTATAAATAATGCAACTTTGAGAATAATAAATATAAAAATTTAATCAATTATACAAAAATTTAATATGATTTTTTCAAGGAGTCAAGCAAATACTCTATTAATAACGAAATACAATCACGTTGAAATCAATTCTCTAATCAATGTAATAACGAATAAAATTAAGGCTGTGACACTTGCGCCAGCGGCTTTGTAACAAAGCAATTATTCAATACATTGTACATAGATGGCGATAACTGTACCGCTAGCTCGATTTATAATTTTATTTTTAAGTGTACTTGTTTTTATATCTAGGTTACCAAATCTAGGTAAACAGATAGTTTCAATTTAATAATAACATGAAAAATTAATATGTCAAAACTTTACCTAGTTGATAATTAGTAAGTAGGTTAAATGTGACAAAAACAAAAAAAAACATCAAATTTTTCTTTAGAATAATGTTTCAATATTTATTCACATCACTGGTATAATTAAACCAGAGATCTAGTGACTACCATAAAACAGCAGGTAATTTACTTATCAACAGGCGGCAGTTTCTATGCAGAGACGTACCTACTCTAGTCATTAAGTTTTGTTCTACAGGTTAATAATTGGGGTAAAATAAGTATTAAGAAAAATAGCTATAATTTAGAATTGTTTATTTAATTATACAGTGTGTACAAAAAGTAATGTGGTAACTTGGTAAAGGCAAAAATCAGTATGACAAAGTACGAAAAAGTAGGTAGGTAATAGAAGTACTAAAAAGGACAAAATGTAGGCTGAATATATAAAATGTAATTATTAAAAAGTATAACGTGGTAAAATGGTAAAAGTAAAAACCGGTATGACAAAGTACGAAAAAGTAGGTATATAGGTAATAGAAGTAGTAAAAAGTAGAAAATAAAGTATTTAAAAGTACAGAATGTCGGTTGAACATATAAAATATAATTATTAAAAAGTATAAAGTGGTAACTTGGCAAAAATAAAAATCAGTATGACAAAGTACGAGCAAGTAGCTAGATCATAGTGATTGTTTCTACCCTTACATTGTGGAATCTATTCATACGAAATAAAATATTAAAAAATGAAATGTAAAAATTCCACTATTGTCAATCCTGACGATAGAAGTTTATAGTATGAGAGCCCACTGCAAATTTCGACCGTCATCTGATAACGACATGAAATATGCTCCAAAGACATGTAACAACATTGTACTTTACCAATCCCTATTCTGAGCAAAGTGGTTAAAAAAATTATTTTATATTCAAAAAATCACATAAGACATGACAGCAACAATTGTATTTTCCCTGAAAATTACAATCCTAGTTCATTGTGAACCCAGCTTTTAAACCAGAATTATTAATATTTTTACCTACCTTTTAAACCATGTGTATGTGTGAAAGGAAGAAGGATGGCATTGTATAAACCATTTGCAGAGATAGTCAAGAATAATTATAAACTCTTGTCAGACAATTATTAAAAACGTTGTTTCTATGGCAACCTGTAAAAATGAATCACAACAATAGGCATACAAATAAATTTTTAAATCAGCAAAAATTGATTCATATTTTTAATGATTTATACCTATTAATCGTGGATAGATGTTTTTGTTCGATGTTAAGAGGAAGAAAATGTTTCCCTTTTACGATATATATCAAGATATATTTGAATGTTATTTTCTGGAAAACTTTAAGGGCAAACAAAATTAGCGCTGTCATGTCTTATGTGATTTTTTTAACAAAAAATAATTTTTTTAAGCTACTTTGCTCAGGATTGGGATTGGCACAGGTGCCATTTGGTAAAGTACAATGTTTTTCCATGCTTTTGGGGTATATTTCATTTCGTTATCAGATGACGGTAAAAATTTGCAGTGGGCTCTTGGGCTATTATGCTTCTGAAACAATTGTCGATTCCGAATTACTCAGATAAGTATTTTTATTAATATAGTGGAATTTTTACATTTCATTTTCTAATATTTTATTTATTTAAACAAATTTAAACAAAATTACTCACGAAGTTCAGTTTCACTTTCACTATCGTCATCCAAATTAATAATGAACCTTTCCCTTGGTACCTTTTCTATATCAATATATGCCTTTTCCACCTTTTTTATATGTGAAATACACTTGGTCCAGCTGCAACCAGGAATTTTTGCAGCTTATGTTTGAATAAGAGCTACCTCAGTCGAACTTAAGGTTGGAGAAGTATTATTTCTTCGAACTGCTGACTTAAGTTGACGCCATATATGTTCAATTGGGTTAAACATACAGTAGTAAGGAGGAAGTCTGAGCACCGTATGTCCCAAGCTCTCAGCTAATGTGTCACAAAAATATTTATTTTGTATTGAATAGCTTTTTAAAACTTCCAGTAACGGCTTTTTTGTGTACTTTTCCTCAAAGTATAAATCATTGTTTACCATGTAATCTTGTAATCTATGATGGCTTTTATGTCGTTTCAACAAGGTGCCTTATCTAGTCTTCGACTGTGGTAGCTGGGCATTATCCATGGCGATAACACTGTTGGGAGGAATATTTGGCAAAAGTTAAGTTTGGAACCAATCTTCAAATAATTCGACAGTAGTGTCGTCATGGTAATCGACTAAGGAATCCTTAATATTTTTTGCCCATAACGACAACGCATTAGGTATAAAACCATTATTGGTTCCTGCGTGTATTCTAGTAATACGTTTGACTTTATTATGTGGCAGATTAGTCTGGCACAAGTCAGATGAGTCTACTCAACTTTTGTTTGGAATATCGTGTCTATCGAACCAAGTTTCATCCAAATTCACAACTGTTCTGCCAGCTTCTCTAAAATCATTTATCGCCAATAAATATTGAAATCTCCATTGCTTAAGGCGCACAGGTTCTATTATGACTTTTTTGCTACAGTGGATGCCAGTTTCGTCCTTTTCAAGTCGTTGCATCAATTTATCTAGTGTAGGCACAATTTGCTCTCTATACAAGTCATATATTTTCCTTCGAATTAGGTCTACATCACAATCATCTAGTTTCTTTGAAGGACCAGAGTATTTACTTTTCCTTCTTTTTAAAATAGGGTTACTTACTATTTTAAATACTACAGAATACAGCGTTTTCATTAAAGAGGCAGTTTCTCGCACTGCTTGAGTCTTGGTCATTCCACGTTCCATAAGGGAGGTATAAACACTTAATATTTTTTTTTATCAACGTGTAAAACTAGTCAATTAGTTGTATTACTACTGGCTGCAGGTTCAACCCACGGACGGAACATTTTTCACTATATAAAATGTTTAAGACACTTCGAAATAAACGCAACTGACACAACGGAATATTCGTTAATGACTGAATTTAGTTTAACTACTATCCTCCTTTCGTTTCTAAAAACGGTAATTGATCAGTTCTCAAAACAGTTACATACTAACTAACTCCCCATTATTTATTTAACTTTCTTTGTCTAGAATTATAGGACTCGATATCTTAAACAATAGTATTCTTGTCTTCAAAGTCTTGTAATTTATTTGTAACTCTATATCCCATTATCGCTAATCTCCTTAATAGACATTTAGTACAGAAAGTCAGGTGGTCAGGCAAGTAAATTTTATTTATAAGTACTTTCAATTCTAGGAAATTTTTTATTATTAAAATAGTTTTACATTCAAAACTGTTAACAATTGAAATAGAGAGCCCTCAATTATATATAATATTATTAAAAAAACATATTCTTTACTATTTCATGAAAATATATATTTTAATCCGGACCTGGGAATCTTTTAACCAACAGACAATTTTCTCGCTTATCTACAAATCGAACAATAGTGATAATGAGGGTCGTCGGCTAATATGATTTATGATAGTCACTAGATCTCTGGTTGTACTATATATTGTATTCACTTGTAAACTATATATGTATTTGATGGTCATAATAATAATTTTAATCCTAAAGAACGGAGTCAATTGAACTTTTCCACATCGCAATATTTGGGTTGGAGTGAAAGGTATTTTATGGTTGGGTAGAAATTTTATTACTTTATGGTTTTTTCTATTTCGAAGGGTTTTGTTTATATTATACCTAAAAATTTGCAAAGCTTCCAAATATATTTTTCTTATGCCTACCTATTAGGTAATAGGTACCTCTAAATTGCATCATACTATTAGTTATGTATAAATAAAATTTGATAAGAATATGATCGCTCATGCTTTCGTTGATTAGACAGAATTTATGAAAATTAAAATTTGTGATTTGTCACTTTTATAAGACTCTTCTATTAGTTATAAGGATATATTTAGTGATAGTGGTAGTACGTTTTAGTAGTTAATGTATAAACTTTTATCTTATAAAATACGGGGCAAATATCCCGAATATTTTTGTTTTATTTTTTTTTAAATTGTAATTGCAAAGGATGTATTATTAATGATGACTACAATATTATTTTCTAACAAAACAAACAAAAAAACAGTATTTTTTGTGCAGTTGGAAAATCATGTTTTCACAAAAATCGTTCAAATTTAATGTTAAAGATATATAAAGGATTAATTATATTTAAGGTTGTTTTTAATGTAACATAATATTATGTTAGTACCAATGCATCATCTTTTTTC